GCGTCGTAAATCGATTTTACGGCCGTTTACGAACCGTATTGAATCACCTGGGCCGTAGAGATAAATTAACAACAAATTCACACATTAACCCACACATATAATGGATGAACTCCAAACTTTGAACTACCATAGTGTAAATATAAATGCCCGGGAAACAATACCATAAGGAAATAACCAGATCAAACAATCTTCGTTGACTAACATGACATTACGGATTATGCGTTAACTAAACACTTTTCAAAAGAGTTTCTTATGTCTCACCTATAGTTTTGAAGATTCGAGCCATCTTTTTTTTAAAATCTTCTACGATCAGCTATCATCGCCGACGAGTAGCTAATTCAACAACAAAAAGAGCCTAACAAGAACGACATTTGAAATAAGGTTTCTTCCATTTTACTCAGTCATCTAGTGGCTTCAACTCATTGAAACTTTATTATTACTACAAAACTAATCACTTTAAATCAACTAGTTCGGGTAATAAAAGTATCTATCTAGTAGCGTTGACCAAATTCTATTATCACCAATTGGTCTTAACTCTTCCTCAGTGATGTCCGTTTTGATAAGAGAAGTAAGGTACCCCTAAAAAGAAATATTTTGTCGGCACCGGTTGTGCACGGATGCGCATCGGTGCCGAATAATTTTTTTTCTGGGCACCGGTGCCAGAAAAGAATGTAAAAATCTCGCACCAGTGCCGAAGTTTTATTTTGTCAATTTCTGCCTATATTAACACCACAGTATACTTCTAATATTTCAAATGTCTTTCTAACTTCATCTTTTCCTTCTCATACGAGACGTGCCGAGGCAATGCCGTATGGTTTTGGCATGTCAATGTGATATTGATTAGTGCCGCACTCTAATACAAAATTTAATATAAACAACCATAATAAAAAACTAATTAAATTGATTAAATACATTTCAGTGCGGCACTTTTTGCGCAGAAATATATCGGTACCGGTGCCAGTCGGTATTGGTTCGGCACTTGCTAGGCACGAATGCGCACCGATGCGCACTGGAATTTTTTTTATAGGGATATTAAACGAAACAAATAAGCAAGAATCCCGAAAAGACTTTTGGCTTTTATTTTCTTCAGATACTTATTGTTTTGGCATTAAAATTTCCTTGATTTGATCAATGTAATTTTGAAAGAACTCATAGTGCATTCGCTTCTTTCCTGGACTTTAGTTTTATCTAAAACGACATCTCAGCCAGGTTAGGTCCATCTGAAATATCGCGTATTTGGGAAAACTTTTCCGCTTTGCTTGAAAATAGTCTATTTTCACATAGTTTGTGGAGTTACGTAAGAATGTGTCTTTATTGACTTCATAGATGGATCTAACCAGGACGCCACGACAACGGGGCTAGAGAGGGAACCCCCTCTCTGCTTTCTGAAATATTTGATTTCCAAATTCGAAAAGTTTTTACTCTGAAACTGAGATCAACAATTAGCACCATCTGGCGTATGCTACTAAACAAGAAAATCTGTTATCACACAGTGGGCAATTTTCACTAGGCACGTAGTCTTTTGGCCTGCAAGCTAGAAGAAAACTTAAAAGCGCGTTTTTTATACGTTATTTGTGTGTTCTATCTAATGGAATGCTTTTCGAATTCTAAAAAAGTTTTCTAAGCAGTTTTCTAGAGATCCTGTCTCTAAAAAAACACTTAGAAAACGTTTAAAAAACTCAAAAACAACTGCATTGGATAGAGAATCATCGATAACCTATAGAGATAGTCGAGTTCTATCGTAGACCGTAAATTCTTTATGTCACATACGACAAGATGCACATATGTCCCACAACAGATTCTACATGCCACATCAAGAAAAAGACGAATTTACGCTCTAGGATAGAACTCTAGTGTTTAGACGATTTCATCTGTTGATAATAGAGTTTTCTCTTTTAGCGTATCCTGATCTTTTTCTTGATATCGCATACAGATCATCTTTTCTTTTCTATATGTATCCTCATGTCTGACATACACATATCTACATGCGACATCAAGAAAAACATAAAGATACGCTAAAAGAGAAAACTCTAATATCAAATTTTAAAATTTCAGTCAAAAATCCCTATACGCACATTCAAGAAACAAAAGGAATCAGCTAAATTCAAAAGTTTCCGTAGAAACACGACTGAGTTATACACCATTCGACGTAGTTTTTTGTGTTGATTCCAATTACATTATTGATTTTTAATTTCAATGTTCCTGAACTGAGATAATCCGGATTTATCTCAAAAACCAAGAGTTGTGGAGAAATTTGTAACTCGATCCAGAAACATTTGCGCTAACGGCATCAATGTATCGTTAGTAGATGCATCTTTTGTGAAAATTTCATTAAATTTGGAACTTGGTACACTCACTGTACGGAAGGCCGCTCTTTGGAAAACACTTAGCAGAGAAAGAAACATTATTTTCTCGGTTCCAAAGCGTCTCCCCAAAAAAATTTTTTTTGCAAATAGATAGAGTGAAAGGTCTAGTTTCGAACTATATATGATTTTTACAATAATCATGTTCTGTTTACTAAAAATGATTCTTCTATCTTCATCGCTTTGTTTTACGACAAAAACTTTCTTAACGATTTTGTCACTAACTATGGCATTTAGAAAAAAATTCCCAATGTCATAACGATAGAGCGTATGCTGAAATATATGACCTGCTACTCAAATCTTGAAAAAGCGTATTTTCGTTTTTCCATCTAAATATGATGTGATTGCCCATTGTGTACCACTCGCATTTCGAAGCTTTGAATTCTTGCTCTCTTTCACTAACTTGGCTTCCAAATCCCGAATGAAATCAAGCATTATATCATTTATCTTGGCTACCATAGGATAACACAAAATGTGTGTTTTTCAATATTTTCACTTCAGATAAAGTTGACGGCTTAATGGAAACAACTAAAAACGGGAAAGTGTATTCGAAAAAGTACAACAACAGATTTTAGAATGAATTAGTTGTTTTTCGTAGTTAAGTGTCTGCAAGTCAGAATAGGAAGCAGTTCGGAAAATGAAAAATATGCTTCGTTTTATTGCAGAAACTACAGCAAAAACTTTAGCGCATGACGTTTTTTGCAACAAAAAGGTTTTGTATGTCAAAACTTACGTATTTTAGACAAATCAGATATTTAGTCTCAATTTTAAAATGTTTGATTTACTGCAAAATCGGACGACCCCATCCCTGTTTTTTGTACATTGCGGCGTCCATGGACCTGTCTGAGATGTCGTTCTAGATAAAACTAAAGTCAAGGGAAGAGGCGAATCGTAGATGAGTGAGCGCTACTTATAATATAAGAATTGTAAATTTCCTTCAACCGAAATTCAAAAATAAATCCAACAATAATGGGCTACTTCTTATTCGTTGGAAATCATCCATTAGACTGCATCGTACTGTAAAATTACTTACAAGTGATTTTACAAAGTGATTTTAGCTTCGCATGAGGTGGTCCTTAAAAAAAGGAAAGAAAAAGTCATTGTTTAGGACAATGTGTCTGTGTCTTAGACAAAAACTTTCGTTTCCCTTTTTCCTTTTTTTAGGGACCACCTCGCATGACCCTTTAAATAGCATTGAACTCTATAGGGGATACGCTACACATAGTTTAGAACAACTTACTTTGAGTAAGCTCACATCAGTCTTTATTTGAACTGTGCTGAATAGCAAGAAAACGATCACAAAAAAAGTTTATGAGCATATTATAGATTTTTCCTAATACTATACGTTACCGTAGTGAAATTTACTGATTCAGGAACCGGCAAGAGGATAAAAACACAGAATTCAAGGCACACATTGGGGGGAAGCAATGTTTCTTGCTTCAAGATTCAAGGGAAATCTTTTTTTAATTGTCATTTTTTGACTGAAATATAATATTATTTCTTGTATATTTCCATTCATAAGAAATGTTTCTACAAGTAACAAAGAAATCTTTTTCTATTCTTTCGCTGTGTATGTTTATACAACAGTCACGTGGTTACATAACGATATGTCTTACTTTTCGTTTTTCCCATTTTGAACGAAATACACAAGAGAAAAAGTGACTGTGTGTATAGTCTATAAGTATAACCTATAAGTATAGCCTATAAGTATCCTTTTTTTAATGTGGCGTAGACAGCCATTGATGATCGCATTTTTCGCAGTTTACACCCGCTGTTTTCGACTACACAGCAGAAAAAAACATAGTTGATCTGAAATGAAATTTTTCTTCAGAAAAGTCATCGTTTAGCACGGATTAATATAAAAATAGTTCAACACTGTAACTACGAAAGTAAGACTAGTTTAAACCACTCAGTAAGAAGGAGCTAGTGAAAAGCGCTTTTTACTTAGTTTTAAGAAATTTAGTCTGTAAAACCCTCAATTAGACAAGTAAAGTTTGATTCCATAATGTCCGGACATTTCTTCGGAAACATTATTTTCCCAAAGAAAAAAACGGGTAAAACGTTGTGAAATCAAATGCAAAGTTTTGGGGATAAACCTAATCTGTCGTAACCTACATATTATTTAGCTTAGAGTTGAGGTTTATAGGTTAAGACAATTGTTTAGATTACAAGATATTTTTTTTGTCATTAAATTATCAGATATTATGAATAATTCTCTTTTGATTCTGACATACGCTCATTATTTTAGTTTAAAACAAAACCTCCTTGCTTCAAGTGGAAAATATTGCCAAGAAAAAGCAAACATTTTTTACAATTTCTTGGACAATAAGAAACGTTTCTTGACCGTTTCATGGGGAAAATTGGAAGTTTTTGGTACTTCCTTGATCCAAGAAATAAAATCTTGTGTTTCTTATAAGGTTTCACCTTCAAGAAATACAAGAATAGCGATTACAGATGGAAGCCTTTTCTTTCAAGACATAGTCACTGAATGTTACCTCATTTAATCGATGTGATCTATCGTCTGAGGAAACATCATCGTCCACCTCCTTTTCTTCATCTTGTTCTTCATCCTCGAATGGTAATTGCTTACTAGTCACAGAAAAGTACGTCGAAGACGTCTCTCAAACCGATGCTGTTATGACTGACCGTGATCAGCCATATGAAATTATTCTGCTGGTAAGAGAGCAAGACAGGGGAAAACAAAAAGAAACATCATTTTTTGTCAAAGTTATGTTATTATGAGGAAGAGTTCGAAAAACGCAGATGTACACAAGTGTGCAAGTTTTATAACAAACTAAAAATACATATTTTGTAGACATTGTCTTGCTTCTATTTCAGTCACAATCTGTTGATCCAAATCATGTTCGAATACATACAGATCGGGAGAATCGAAATATGAAAATAAAAGATCTGAGCGCAATGAATGGAGTAAGTATAAACAAGAAAATAAACTGTATACTTAGAAATAGAAAAACACTTGATCAGTTTTCTTAAAAGAGAGAGAGAGTACGTTTGAAATAATGATTTTTTTCTTTGTAGACTTTTGTAAATAATGGTCGAACTGAATCTCAACGTGAAATTGATCTTAAACACAACGATAAAATGTCGATTAACTCAGGTATGAATTTGATAGAGCGTACGACTAGTTCAAAAAACAAAAATATTTCTTTTATAGACCCTACAATTTTAATTGTCAAAAAACAGGATGCCAACGATGTTAGTTTGAAAGGGGTATTGAATTTACAATAATCTGTGAAGCAAAAACTATTTGTTGACTTGTTATTTCAGCAGTCGGCTCAGTCAAAGATGTTACACTCCCCCTTTGGATTTGGTTTGTATGATCTGAATTATGTTCTGGTGTTACATATTACTTGCCTCTTTATCTAATAGATGCCCCGTCATGTGAACAACGACAATCAAATGGTTTTCTTATCGAACGAATGTTAAATGATGAAAATATCGATAGACAAAATTCTCTTAGTAATCCAACGTCCTATAACACTGTCATAAGTAATTTTCAACCATCGATCGATTATAATGAAGATGCATCCAGCGATGCTGGTACTTATATCATCGATATTGAACACCGTGATTTTGATGTTGAAGATAACGATGATAATGAACAAATAGAACCTCAACAACAATACCAGCAACACCTTGAAAGCCCATTAGCGTTTAAACGTTATACATCAAGTAAACGGCACGGAACATATAATTTAAATGGTATCCAATCATCTCCCCGAGAAACAACTCCCCCAATGTTACCTGCAATGTCAACAGTTTATGCACGACCTGTCGTTATACCTGATCGTGACCTCACCGAATCACTATCGTCTTCGTCATCCTCATCATCTTTATCAAAAATTCGCCTTGAACCTGAAGGTAATGATCAAACAACAACACAAGAATCAGTCACTGAACGTGCCATGGTCTATGCTCGTCAGAGACCACAAGCGTTAATTACAGATCCAGATAGTAGTAATGTGAAAGCTAAAAGCAATACTAATTGTTCTTTCATAGCTAGTCAAATAATAAAACCGGCCGAATGTTTTGGTACGCATTTTGCCGCTTAATTGAGCCACTTCTTTATATTCATTTGTTTTTTTGATGAATTTTAGTTATATCACCCATCATTGAAAGAAAAACGATAATAAATGCCAATGAAAAAAACTTAAATATTACAAGAAAGAATAATCGACTACATCCGGCTGGAGCAGCCAATATGTTGTAAGTGGTTACACTTTCAGGCTAAAACGAGCAATAGCGTGTGAAAAGATAGTGTCGAACAGTACTGTCCAACATTTTTCTTTCTATTCTAGAGTGAATTATTCTTCTAAAGTCAAATCAGCTCCTTTGTCATCTTCAACACTCAATGATACTACTACCATACACCAAAAGGAATTAGATAATAATTCAATCGCAAATGATATCAATTCTTTACCGTCAACAACAGCAACATTTTCACCAGTGACGACTAAAGATGATACAGAAAATTATTTTGCTCGCTCACAACAACTAACAACATCATCGGTAGTAGCAAGTTCTTCGAGCGATGAATTTCAGATGCAAAATATTCGAACACTACCATTGGTTGAAAAATCACTTCAAAATGCTGATATGTTATCAAAATTATTTGCTGCAATTCCTTTCAGCCACTCACCGCGTCAACATGTGATCGATCAGCAAACATTTCAACGTAATGCTCCGATACGACAAACGATTCCTAGTTATTCTAGAGAATCTTCATCGAAAATACCCGATCTAATGTCTAGTTCATTAATTGGTGAATTACCATCATCACATACATCATCACGCTCAAATTCAATTGCCGATGATATAACATCTCATCCATCGCTGTCTAAAGTATCAGTGAATAAATCATTTGCACTAAGAAGACAACGCTCGAGCGTAAGTACTACAAATAAAGTACAACAACAAACACAGTCACAACCATTATCTATAACAAAACCTGTTCAACGTCCGACATTCACGAAATCTCAAATACCTCCTGCTCAAATTTATAAACCTACTGACTGCACATATTTGGATCGACAGTCAAGTATAAATAGTCAAACAAATCGAGCTGTTGAATTACGTAAAGGTTAGTAATATTCTCGACTATTTCTTGGAAGAGTGCGTTTGTATTAGTCGCAGACAAATCGTTTGTTCGATGGAATTAATTTATTATTCAAAATCGGTTTGTCTTTTAGCTCGAGCTCGTGCAAAAATCGACGAATTATCACAGCGAACGAAACAACAGCAGCAACAATCACAAGAACAACAAACGATGACTAATCAGCAATTAATGACAGCTTCATTATATAATGGTAAAACTAATTTAGGTTCAAGTAAAAGAAAGGATATTCGTTCAACTTATCGTCCAACAACTAAACAGTCGCTTGATGTGCCAACACATCGTTCATCATCAGCAAGTCCAAATACGTCAAATGATGATTGGATTACCACTCCAACCAGAACTAATCAGCAACAACAACCAACAAAATATCGTCTATCAAAACCATTAGAAAAGTCATTATCAATAGATGAGCATTATACCAGTAAAATGGAAACCTTAGTAAATGAAACTGAACCGGTGAGTGTCTATCTGTAGATCGAAATTATTCTTCATTAAATTTTTCATTATTCTTACTCAGCAGGAACGCTGTGAAGTACTACGTGACGATGGTCAACGACTAGTGATTAAACTAATTCAGTTATCATCTGGCATTTTAGAAAAGCTTAAGTAAGCAGCTATTATATTGTGTAACAGAGGAATGGTATTAATGCTTTCTCCCATTGTAGAATAAACGAAGATGGAACGGATGACGATACAAATGTCAAGGAATTAGAGAAAGTGATTGATAAATTGCAAGCTGTAAATAAAACATTGAGCAGTAAGTCACAGTTATATAGAAAGATAACTATAATATCTATTAATGACTTTTTTGATATTTTAAGCTATTGATGCCGTGTTATCAATGTCAACAAATAATGATCCGTTATTTTTACCAACATCATGGTCTCAAATGACGCCAAAACAAAACTATCGATCATCAACAAATTTTGAATGACTATTGTTCTAGTAGTCGTTCTTCTTTTTCTCTTTGAAACAAGAAGATCGATTTTGCTTGATATTTTTGAAGACTAAGATGAGAAAGAGAAGATGCACTTCTCTGTTCTGTACAATTGTTGAATTGTGGACAATTTTATTGTTTTATTTTCAAGTCTCTATACAGTGCTCCCATTTGATTATTTTACTTTTGTTTATCTTTTAAAGTCTAGAACATTTTTCATATGTTTACTCTTAGTTTCAACTTGTTTATCTCTTAGATTATTATCTATGTTATTTTATTCGTTTTTCGACAAAGAGCATAAACAGAAAGAAAAAACAAGAAAATTAATTACACGTTTGTTACAATTGAATATCTCAACAACAAAAAATAAAGGATATTTTAAACTGCTCTCCGATGATACATTCCATACATGAAAAAAAATTTTGTATACAATATATGTTGAGTTTTCAGATATTTCAGATGATAAAAACGTATACTTTTGGTCATTATTTCACTTAGACTGACTACTAAACATATTTTTAATGAATTTAATTAAATATTTTACGTCAAATGCAAAGACCGCCGCGTATAATCAAATGGTTAGCATTCAGTGCAACTTCAGCTTTAGTGCTTAAACTGTGTTTTGATAATTTATTTCATATTCTATCGCCGACAAAAAATCGATATATGATGAGTTCATCGAATGAATTTGATCAAAATCCTCTAACACAATGGGCGTTATCAGGTGAAAGAAAGAGACAAACAAATGGAGAAGTTAATGATGAAATAAAACAACGCGATGATCTGAAATTAATTGGTGCACAAATTTTCTTTCGACATGGGGCAAGGACGCCATTGAATTTATTACCAGGATTAGAAGAAGTAATGACTTGTCTATTTTTTATAATTTTTTCGAGAATACTTCCGTACCTTGTTAGTGTTTATCGTTCTGAATTCATAGTAAATGAATGTTTGTTTGTAAAATGCTTTATTTCGATGCTTCATTCTACCATTTGGCTTTGCAATAGTTAGCTCTTAAATTGACTTTGTGATCTGTCTCGAAATGTCAGCGAATATAAAATCTAGTATTATTTATAAAGATTACTACTACAGCTTGCAGCAACAGCTTTCTGTTGCTGCAATATACACACTTAATATGTAGCTTCCTTTCATCTTTTTTTAGTTTTTTAATCTGTAAACTTTCCTTCTTCAGGTAACATACACGAAGAAACATTTCGAGAGTTATGCACCATCAAAATGGGACGTAAAATTAAAAACAGAATTGGGAGATAAAACTTTGTCAGCAAAAGCATTTTTAGGTGATAGAATTCGAGCGTTAAAGGTTTGTATTTTTGATTTTATATTATGTACTCTCTAATGTGAATTATTAAATATATTTTAGGCAGCTGATGGTGGCACAGTTGTTTCAGGACAACTTACTGCTATCGGTGAAGAACAATTATATACACTTGGTCAGTCAATGAAACCAGATTTTATTGCTTCCGAGTTGATACCGCCTGTCTATGATCCAAATATTACTTAGTAAGTATAATTGATGCTGTTGTGAATGCTATGTTGTTAGTAACCAATGAATGTTTGTTTTGTATTTTACAGTTGTCGAGCAACGTACATGGACCGAACAATTGCTTCAGCACGCTCATTTCTAGCCGGCTTGTTTTCCGATGAAAATCAAAAAGTTCAGGCAAAAGGTGAGTGGTAAGTGGGATAGTTTTTTCTTTTATTTTTTATAAATGTACACTTTCTACAAATTTCACAATAGAAAAACATTATAGTCATAAAATCTTTTAGGTCCATTTGAGATTGAATGTCATAGCTTTCCCTATGAAACGTTATTTCCTAATCCACGTGTTTATCCTATTTTGGAAAAATGTCATAATGCTACATCGTTGTATGAATCTTTACACGATGATCATGAATTAAAGAAAGCGAGAAACGCCGTTTTGAAACATATCGGTAAGCATTTGTGTTTGTATTTCTTGACCAACTTATGCTGAGTTTTTCTCTTCAGGAGCATTTGATTATAAACACGGCATCGTAGAATTGAGCGATGATATTATTTCAAGAAAAGTAAGTTTTTGTGAAAACTTTGTATTTACAACTGTTGATTAGCCGAATATTTTTAGGCACATGGATTTTCAGTTCCAGAAGATCTACTTACATTAACAAAAGATTTTGAAAGTTATGCGGCAAGAGAATACGTTATCATGGCGTAAGTACAAATGTAGTCCACGAAAAGGAAGGAATAATTAAACATTTTTTGTTTAGCACAACACTAGGTTTAGATACATTCATCAAGTCGACAATTGGACCGATTTTACACTTGGTCAAACAAAATTTTGATGCGATGAAAAATGCTTATCGGTCGAAACAAACAGAAAAGCATGTACATCTATTCAACTTGAAGATCACGTTTTTCTTAAACTCTGTCTATCTTTACCTAGGCCATATTATAAGTTATATATTTATTCGGGTCATGACAGTACGCTTATCCCTCTGGCAATGGCACTAGACGTTTTTGATATGAAATGGCCACGATATGCAAGCCATATTGTAATGAAATATTATTCGTCAATTGCTGATCCATCAGACACTTATGTGCTGGTGAATTTTTCTGGACAGGTATAACTTTATCATCATCATCATCAAGGATTTTCAGTTCATTTCAAATATTTTTTTAGCCTCAAAAATTACCTAACTGTGATACGTATTATTGTCCATATTCAACATTATTAAACAATTTACAAAATCGTATTGATGTACCAAAAACAGTCAATTGAATATATACATACCGGTGTGACGTTCGATGTTTTTAGGGTAATTTTTTATTGTTTTTATTTCTCATGTCAAACGGTGTATTTTCTTTTTCTTTATCTCGACACAACTGTGTTTAATTATGTTGACTTAATTCACATTAAATAAAAAACGTTAATTAGTTTGTAAAACTTGACATCAACTGCTCTCATGTATATTAGAGCAGTTTTATTATCACGAATCTAAAAATGACAACATAAGAACATTAGACTTATCACAATTATTGTTACTTAGAGTTTTATACGTAGAAAGTAGATTTGGTATGGCACTACGGCTAGACTCTTCAAAAGATGTAACAGCTTCGATGAAGTCAACTGAACAAATTAAACTGTTTGTTAGAAAACCGAAACATGTTGTTGTATACTCTCACTCGCCGATGTAAACCGTCTGCCAGGAAGTCTATTGTAGTTTTATTTAGAATGCATTGTTTCCATTTCGATATTACTACTCATGAGTATTTCAATAGGTTACAGACAGATCAAATACCAATTGCGACGATTTCTGGGTTAGAACTGGTTCATGCCCAGTTTCATTAATTTGTAGGTCTTTGAGAATAAAATCAACTTGTTTTCATTACTAACTATTTATTGCTTAGGTTAACTATTATTGCTATATTTCATTGCTTTCTTTGAAGATAATTCTTTAGATTAAATAAATGTCTGACACTGCATCTCAGCCATGCTCTTGCCAGTATCTATTGCCTGGTTTTGTAGCCGTTCATGTTGGTAATTTAATTAAATAACTTCAATACATTAATGTTCAGTTAACAATTTGTTAAGGTGCTGGTCATCAATCAAAAGAGCGCTCGAATCAGTATAAAGATACGTGTAAGAAAGCTTGTTTAAACGCCATACGAGCACTAAAAAATGGGAAAAATGCATCGGAAGCCGTTTGTATTGCTGTTGCCGTATTGGAGGTAAGAAAAATAACATAACATTGCGTCGATTGTTCCTAAAACATTTGTTTTTAATCACTTTTGAGGACTGTCCATTAACTAATGCAGGAATTGGATCCAATTTGACAATAGACGGAAAAATTGAATGCGATGCCTGCGTAATGGATGATAAAGGATACGGAGCCGTTGGTTGTGTTTCGGGTTAGTTTTCAGAGTTATACAAGTATAAAATACAGATAACAACAGATAATAACATATTTTTCCTATTTAAGGTGTTCAAAACCCAGCCGTTCTAGCATGGACATTGTTGGAAACACAAAAAAAAGGTTTAATGTCTGGCGGACGAATGCCACCATGGTAGAAAAGAAACGATATAGTAATTTTCGATGAATTGTTTAATCACTTATGCTTTACAGCTTTTTGGTCGGTGATGGAGCCAAACAGTGGGCACAAGAATTCAATGTGTCTTGCATCAATGAAGAAAAGATGAAAACAGGTAATCAATCGGTTTCTGTAAATCATGACTTCATTATCATACGTTTGTCTAAACGCGTTTAGCTAATAGTACGTCGATGTTTGAAACATTTAAACGTCATTTTGACTCAGACGAAGAAATTCATTCTGGCAACAAACGGTTGAAAACTTCAAACGAAGAAAACAATATTTCAGAAGTAGATATAAAAACCAGCGAGTGAGCTTTGCTTTATTGGTTTCTCAAACATTTTTTAGTTGATTTCTTTAAAATATAGGATGAACGAGAAGAAGAACAGCGTCTTGATACCGTAGGCGCAATAATTATTGATACTAATGGCAATGTCGCTGCTGCAGCATCAAGTGGTGGAATTTTATTAAAACATTCTGGACGTATCGGACATTCTGCACTGTACGGATGTGGCTGCTGGATAGATCAACAAGAGAATTGTTCAGTTGCTATTGTTTCATCAGGTACATGTATTCCTCTTGAATGTATTTATGTAGTAAATTATCCATTAATTTTTGTACAGGTACTGGAGAATTTTTAACAAAAACCTTATTTTCAAAATCAATTAGTGATCAATGTATCGAAAATGATATTACGCCAGAAATGATCAAAACAATTTTGAATAAAATATTTTTAAGTATGCACCATGAAATATTTAGAAATACCACCAATTCTAAGCTGACACTTCATCAAGATCACTGCTTTTCACTGGCAAGGGTCCCAATGTCGACTGGGTTTTGTGATGAGAATAACTCAATTTGGCTCCTCTATCTATAAGTGAAGTGAAATCATAAAATCAGTTAAAAAGTGAGTCAGTCACGCTTGCAAAAAAGAAATAGAAGTTTTAACCAATTCGGATGAAGACCCACGCTTTAGCTGATTTTATGATTTTATTTCACTTATAGATAGAGGAGCCAAATTGAGTTATTCTCATCACAAAACCCAGTCGACATTGGGACTCTTGCTAGTGAAAAGCAGTGATCTTGATGAAGTATCAGATTAGAATTGGTGCATGCCTATTCTAAGATTCATTTATCTTGTACTCTATTCTTAGATCGAACAATGACGCCTTTGAATGCAGATAAATATCTCGGATTTATTTTACTTAAAACAAGCCTCAACACAGATAATGACAGGACAGGTAAATTTGAGTTGGTGTAGTATGACAAGGATTATAACTGTACTTTATTTTAAGTTGAATTTGTATGCAGTCACAACACCAAAACAATGTGTATTGGCTATATGAATACCAATCAGTCGAATCCCCATGTAATAAAAAAAGCAATTTATGACTATTTGATTAATTTTCAATATTCTATCCTGTCTTTTAGACGCTGTTTTCTGAATTACAAAACAACGAAACATTATCGATTAATATTGAAGCATTTGTATTGAATAAACAATCTGCTTGCTCATGTAAAACATTCTAGAATTTATTATTTGCTACTATTTTTTGTTCTGTAAATAAACGTAATATAAAATTCGTCTGTGATTGATATATCAAGATAAGAAACTTGTTGCTTAAAGCTTGACGGGGTTTTTAAAAAATATATTAGCCACACCGTAGTGATGAATCTTTTTTTAATAGGATGTTATACATCAGAGTGAAATTAAAATGCATGTTCTAGTTCTTCTCATGCATCATTGGTTCAATAATACAATATGTGCGAAAAGAGATCTTTTTATTTACTAGATGCTTCTTGCATCGGTGCTAACGATGATAAATAAAACCGAAAAAGAATCACATATATATAAATACTAAATAAACTGCAGAAATGAAAAGAGAAAGGTGCGAAACAACTTATCTTAAGGTGCGAAGAAACTTATCTCTAACTTATTTGAATTTTCTTCGAACGAATTATGTATGAAGACACTAGAATATTATCTGTATCGTTGACGAATGTAATGTCTCGAAATACCTTCTAAAAACATAAAGCAAAGAGTCACTCGACTAGTGCTACAAAAAGCGCAAGATATTGACTTTGGCCAGATGATCTTTCTTGTGGCGGTTTTCTAGAAATCTTCTCAAAATCCTATCATTTGGCTAGGGTCGAGAACGGGAAAAAATACTAAATTACCCAGAAAATGACATACTGAATCCGAATTTCAGGTCAATTTGGATTCAATATTTATGAGTAACTGAGCGTTTTGACGGGGTTTCTAGAAAACCGCCACAAGGAAGATCACCTGGCCAAAGTCAATATCTTGCGCCTTTTGTAGCACTAGTCGAGTAGTATGTGGGCTAACACAATTTTGAAGAATTGATGTGTAGTTTTCGAAGTAGGGCCAAAGTAGGTCTCACGGTTGCGCTTACCATGAAGAAGTGAAAAATGCTAGAGACTTCATTATTGCGTCATACGAACAAACTTAAAAACCGCTTTCCTCCAGGTCCTCCAGTCAAAAATTCTTGCCGAATGGAGTGAGAAGAGGAGAAAATCTCATTTCCGGATAGAAATATGCAACTTTGTATGATCTTTCCAGCTAGCAGTATGAGAATGCTTGATAGTATTAGATAAGGTCAGATTTCGCTGTTCTGGTATCCCTAAAAACGCTTCAATTCAGAACTCATGGCCGAGGAAAAACCGTGTTCGGAATAATTTTTTCATGGGACGTCAGGGGTCTTTACATACCTTTAGAAGGACTATTGATTGCATATAGTCAAACCTTCCTGGCTTTCAGAATGTAATACTGGGCGGACCTGTGCGGAAGTATCCCATAATCCCCTGTTTCACTTATACTGACATAATCTACGGAAACACATCAGTAATAAACATTAAGAGACTTCAAAGCGCTCAGTACCACACTGCAATTGCAATAACTGGTGCTATTCGTGGAAGTAACATAAACGATGTTTTAGCAGATATCGGTTGGGAATTGATTGAGAATTGGATAGATGGACTAGCAAAGTTTCAAACTATTTTAGTTAAACAGTCACCATCTTATCTTTTTGAACTAATTCCTAACCCAGTAAGACCACAAACAAAATATACTCTTCGTAGCCAATATTCAAATAAGCGAAGATTATATAAGAGACGTTTGGAAGCATTTGTTGATTCCTTTTTCTACCGAACGTTTCGTGAACATTCTGACTTACCACTAGAGACCTTGACCTTAAACATAAAATCATTTAAAAAAGAAATTATTACAGCACAGAAATAAAAATTTCCCATTTCAGAAGAGCGCATGAGTGAAATCAACTATTATCGTTGTCGTATCAGTCTTACACAATTAAAATATGATTTGCATAAACGAAGTCTAACAGATGATCCTTTTTGGGAGTGTGGTGAGATTGAGACCATTGAACACTACATACTGCATTGCTCATCATATCAAAATGAGCGGAATATTTTATTTAGTCAAATAGCCACTTTTTTGCCAAATATGATCGTTACTCTCCCCTTACTACTACTCAAAGACAATATTATTCAACAGGTTGATTTAGTAGAAATATACAAATTGATGATAACCTATATTATGAATAATGAACGCTTTATGAACATGCTTGACTGTTTTCTTCTTATTTAATTATACACGCCTTCGTAGCATTTTGGATGTATCTGTTATGGATCTTCATCACTTCTTTTATCTTATTTTTGATTTTGATGTACTTTTTCTCTTAGCTTATCAGTTGTTGTCTGCCTTTATTGGCTCTTCTTATTGTCACTTCCCTCTCTTTCTCCACATAGCATACTTATATTGTCTACTTAATTGATACTGTAACAGTACTGAAGTGAGTACGTTGTGCTCTTTGTACCCTTTGCCATTTGCTATACTTTTAAATAAATTGGTTTAAATCAAAGCAAAGACGGGCGATAGTTGTAATAAATATCTGTTTAACAAAGACATTTCAAGATTCATGTAAACAAACTAAGGATGAGTATATCGAACGGATCAACAACGCAAACAGCTCTAATAAACAATGGTGAAAAGCGTTAAATTTTTCTCTTGGCCGGGAAAAACAGTCAAGTATTCCTTCATTAAAAAATCAAAGTGGACCGCGGATATGCAAGGATAATAAAAAAGCTGATGAATTGAACATGTATTTTGCGTCCATTCGTACTATAGATCTGTTTGATAATATGAAAGCAACATCATTTGTAAAAGAGTATGAACAGAGAATTCCACATCTTGTCGTTTCTGCTATTCAGGTTGAATTTATCCTAAGTAAATTATTTATAAACAAAGCAAGCAGTTCAGGAATAACATCACGCTTATCGAGAGAATCATCTATAATTACATTAGTCTACACAGCGAGTATAATTAATCAGTCAATAGAAACAGGCGAATACCCGAAGGTCTTTAAAATAGGTTATATCAATCCATTATTTAAAGACAGCGATTCTTCTAGTACAAATAATTATAGGCCAATAACACTCTTACCAATTCCCAGTAAAGTTTTTGAGCGCGTTGTATATAATCATTTGTATCACTATCTTACTATGAATAAATTATTGTTAAGTATGCAATTCATTATGGGTGATTCTATAGTGAATTAGGTGATTCTCTAGCTTCAGCAGTCTAAAAAGCTCTAGATTAAAGAAAATTAAATAAGTGTAGAACATAGCCCATTTCTTTCTACAATTCGACACAAAACAACAACCAGTATGGTACAATTAACAGATCGAATCTCAAACAAAAGTATCTTTTTCCACTTTTTAAAAACGAATTTACATTTTTTTTATTTCTTCTTTAAACGCTTTAGGGAAACACGTTTGGACTAGGAAAAGTAAAGCAAATGGTCTGACAGAATTTGCTGTGCCGTATAAAAAGATTCTATCAAAGCTCTCTAAACCAGGGCCTCTGGAAAACCAAGTCCCAGTCTTCTCAGTGGTAACCGAAGGGAATTTTGGTGGAAGTTAAGAATTTTCAAAATAATCGAAGATTTTAAGCAATTTAGGAAAATTCGCCCTTCCATACTACTCAAAAAGTGAATGAATTTGTTCAACAAAAACGCTTTTCGAAAATACATTCGGAAGCATTTGAATTGCCAAAGTTTAGCCTTTTTGAAACCTCAACATCCTGATCCCTCATCAGAATCCCTATAAATCATTTCAAACTGTTTTATCTGTTCAATCAGACTAATTATTAGCATGTAGATAATGTTCATGTTTATTTTTTTCGTGAGTAATCATTAACGTTTCATCAACAATAACAAATTCGTACAAAAAAACATCCCATTGACAAAGTGATCGAGAGAGAACAAAGATATTAAAAAAAATAAAATCGTACACAAAAAATAACAGATTCTTATAGCACGCAGTGCAAATCCAACCACCCACTCAAAAAGAAAAGGGATGAGCAACAAAAATATTGATCTAAAAATGCATTTTGCGTGTGGTGAGTGGAAGTGCATCGCAATGTTATAACTTATTCTCACAAAATTTTTCCTTGTGTTTCAGCTGTTGTTTGATTGTTTTTACTAAACAAACGAGAAATGAAAACGAATGATGACGACGAAATACTTAGTAGGAGATACTCACATATTTGATCTCATTCAAACCATCTTTGAAATACATGAAATAAGGTGTTAATCCATCTTCTTTGTAATACTGTAAAACCACCATGCCATCAATATTCATATTTTCACCCAGATAAAACCGGTATTCATCAAACTTTGTTAAAATTTCTTTTGCTACTTTAGCCATTCCGGTTTGAAATGGTTGAACACGCTCAGGTGAATTGTTTTGTAAGTATTCTTTCAATCTAAGATTACAATTAGATGCTTTAAAAAGGCTGAATTCAGCGAGTAAAGCTTAGATATTTTTCACATACTGTTTTGAATACGTTTTAATCCAATCTTTAAAGCTAGCTTTATCGAACGGTGTTTCAACAAGTTTGTGATTGAGAACAACATTAATTCCTTAATAGTTAAAAGATCAAAGTAGCTAAATAGAAGAAATGCTATAGAAAAATATTGCTTTTCTTACCTGACGTGTGAGATGCGTCAACTCCTCCTGCCTCTTCCTCAGAACCTTCTGGTACTTTGTTTCCTCCAATCAATGAGTCATCGATATCATGCGAAACTGTTATTTGCTGAAATAAAAAGAAAACCAAGTTTTTTAAATTTTCTTTACACACTAAAGAGCAATAATTGCCACTAAAATGTATTTCGCGAGATCTTTGGTGATCAAAGAAAATAATTAGCTCATATTCAGAAGCTGATTGTTGCACTAGTTCGAGTTTACTTCTAAGATATTCAGAGCCGCAAATAGAAGTCGAACATTAGGAGTGTGTAAAACAAAATTTTTTCCTGAGGTAGTGTGAAATTTATAAAAGTTTTGTGCGACGAATAATGGATAAAATAACAGCAGCTTTTTCAATTATTCAGGAGTGCGCACCCGCCCGTTATTTGCGGCCTTGAAGATATTGTGCAGTATTTTTAATGAAAAGTTTGAGCAAACAGCAACATCACAGTTTATTGTCTTATTTTCCAAGTATTCCTGTTATTGAACAGAGTGTATTTCAACTATCAAAATATCGGTGTACTATGTCATGAGTAGAGATGAGTGGTAACGGTAAAAACGTGTTACCGTTATCGTCACTTCGGTAGCAATATCAGATTTTTACCGCGGTAATTTCAAATCGGTAAGAAATCTCAAAATTTTACGCGATAAATTTATCGCTCCTCCCTAGTCATGAAAAATACTAATACTGAATAAATTTACTGATAGTAGACAACCATATAAAAGACCTTGTACTATTCCGAAGCTCCAAGCTCAACAGATATTCGTAGTGGGTTGGAGATTTTTTCTAAGTCAATCAGATTGAACATGCAAACACTTAATATATCATTTATTCTATACTTCTCACACACTGGTTACAACACATACTCAGTTTGGTACAGATTAAAGTGAACTAGTTCTGTAGTAACCTTAATTCGAAGCCTATAACTTGCGTAATGACTGGAAATGTACAATAAATCTAAGTCGCTGAGTGACTTTTCTCAGCCAGCTTTTGTATCTAAAAAAATTTTCTTCAAAATTCTTACTTTTCCTTCAACTTCGTAATACACGTCATCAATAAGTTTCATTGGATATGAATCACTCAAAAGTTCATCGCCTAAAAACAGAGTGGATAAAGTTTAATGATTTAATGGAACTAATTTTCCTATACATACTGGTGAAAACGTCAGTGAAAACCTTCATTTTTCTGGACGATTGTGTATAAGTACTGTTGCTCGAAAAAGTGAATGTTAAGTTATCAAATGTTCACAAAAAATTCAATCACACTTTTTATCAAAAGAACAGATCGTCCGCCTCCCAACGATTCTTTTAGCAAAAGAACGAATTCAAATAATACGTATTGAGTCATCAACACTAGAAGAAATGAGAAAGAATTTTAGGAGTCTATAAAGCTTATTTAGTGGTTAAAAATCGACCAACTAAATGACTAGTGATTCTTATCTTTTGAATAAACTAATCAAAAATCGAATATGATCCTTCTTTCTGGAAAGTACTGACACTAATGTTAACAACGCTATAAACTAGAATTATCTATGAAGTAGTCAGATGTGTTCAGAGCCCGCGGCTCATTAAAAACATGCCAGAAACAATTGGAGAACTTTATGAAGATTTGGAGGTGATTGTTTAAAAAATCTTTCTCAAGGACATAATAACAACAAATATTCTTGATCATTGTTTATAGATCGCTTTTTATTAGCTTCGTTTGACTAAAACTATTCACATTTACGGTACATGTAACAGATATTTCCACTTAAGATCAGTATATGATGCAAATGCCTACATGAAACTCTTGTAAGCTGCTAATAATCGTACATACTGTAATTAGAGTATTTCGAAACAAAAGTGCATTTAATTTGTCATCTTACCTGTAACTATTATTAATCCATTCAATAGTTAGTTCTACAGCAAATTAAAAGATCCTCTATTCAGCTACAAACGATGTTGTCTGTCTTACAGAGAAAAAGAGAGTTTGAAAAACAGTGAGTTCCATACCCTTACAATGCTCATTACCACTAATGTAATTTTTCGTCCATCGGATTTATATATGTTTTTGTTTCGAATATCAAATAGAATATAAAAACAAGAGCGAAACGAAAAAAAACAAGAAACAAGAAAAAAACGAGTAAAAAACTTTTATTTTATCTCCAACTGATCACATCATTATGGAAACAACAACAAAATTTTGTCTCTTAATTCAACATAACAACAAGAAAATCTTCTAAAGTGTGTTTGTTAAAAGATTTATTGAACCTAACTTCGAACAGCATGTACCGTTTCTTCTTTATTAATCAAATGACAAGTTTTATTTAAACATAACATTAATGAATTTAAATTAATTGACCATTCATTTAAAATTTCTTGTGGTGATTTCTTTTGTTTAAAATTAACAATTCCTTCTAATCGATCGATTTTAGCATCAACAGTTTTATTTGATACCAAATTTGACAAAAATTGTTCAGCTTCCTAGAAAAAATAATGGTTCAATGACTTAATATACGTAGAGCTAGCATAATTGAAGAAACTTTAAATCACCGCTCTTTTTGTGGAAATGAAGACGTTCTAGTTTTACCTCCTTTGTTAAATCCAAAAGTTCAGCCATTTTTTTCGTTCTCACACGTGTATAATATTTTGCCATAATTCGCATATTCTAAAGATATACAAAAAAAAAAAGAGTTCACATTCTCCTACAACCTTTTCATCACACTTACATGTTCAACAACTCGAACTTTAAAATCTTCCCATCTTTTTTTACCATCATCATCATTTGTGAATACATTTGTTGCTGGATCATCTTTTGTGCCTTGTTTTAAATCGTTTTCAAAATTTTTCAATGCATCTTTCCAATGTATTAACTCTTGAGTTTTGAAACGTTGTAGTAATTCTCTAGAAATATCCAATATTGATTAACGATTTAATAAAGTATAAAAGATAAGAAAAGACTTTTCCTCACTTATATTTTGGTATTTGTTCAAGATTTTTATCTAAAACCAATCGATGTAAGAAATCTGATTGTTCATTGTTATACGGTGATAAACATAAATAAAGTACAACATTTTTTAATGCTTGTTTCATCTTTTCATTATCTTTTTGTACACGTGGAGTATCATAATAATGCTTATAATGTTGGCAGACATTAAAATAATTTTTATCATGTAAATCCATTTGAATCATTAATTCATAATATTTAAGCTTCAAATCCTAAAAAAGTTAAACTAGTTTTATTCCAGTAAGAGAATTACTGTATTTTGTTAGACGTTCTTAATTAGTCTCAAATGAGCTCATGAAGGAATACAATCGTTCATACGATAGTTATGGTTACAACTGATTTAAAAGAATAAACGATATCTGTCACTTACGTGTGATGCTTCATCTTCAAACGATTTTGTATTAATTTTTTTACTGATAATTTGTGTACGAATATAATCCTGTTTAGCTAAACACAGACGCATTTGTTCAAGAAGAAATTCAACTTTTTCACGGCGATCCATTGTTCCATAGGTTTCAACCTATATGTGAAAAAAAACAAGAACTTTTTGCACAATTCACCTGGTAAAATATACTTGTAATTCTTGCAAAATTTCGGCAGCTTCTTTCACTTTGCCTTGATCTTCATAAATATCAGCTAATTTTTTTGTTAATCGAGCACGCTCATTTTCAACAAAAATCTAGACACAAAACATCATGTATTTCTCTTTCACAACTCAATAAAAAACTTTTGATCAGTTTTTTTACCTTTCCCGTTGTCACGGTTCTTAATGTTTCGATTAATTTTAATTTTGTATCCAAATCCGGTGTTTGATCGAGAAGTGTATAGGCTTCCTGTACCATTTTTGTGATTGCTTGTTTTAACTGACTTCGTCTCTTACTTAGTGTGACAATATGTTCATTTAATAGTTCCCATTGTTTTTCTTGATAACAATATTTTACAATAGCCACTAAGATCCGACCTAAGTAAATGACGTGACAAATATGTTTTTAATATGAAAACTTTCAATTCATTCCGTTTCAGTTTATTTAGGAACATAAACAAGCATAAGGTAAATCAGAAAGCTTAAAACAGAACTTGACTTTTTATCGTTTTTTCAATATTTTTATTATAAATCGGCAAGGAAAAATCTTCAAAAAGAATCACTATAAGATACTCTCTGAAGCATTTCTAGTAAAAATTAAACCTCGATCGTATGAGTTTTCATGAAATTTGATCATGGGTGCAAATAAAAAACTGAGTTTTCTTGAAATCTCAGGAAGGACGATAGATAAAGAGTTGAAATAAAAAAGAACATGGAAGAAAAAGACATTTCCATCTATAATGTAGATATGAAGTGCTTATCATTTCTGGTTTATTTCTGACAGGCAATTTTGTTTCATAATCTGTTTTTTGTTATAGTAAGGATCAATTCAAATCTTCAACGTTTGAGCTTTTTTGTAAGGAAAAAACCGGTTGTAAAACAAAACGAAGATTAATAGATCGAAACTAATACATACCAGTTGATATTGCGTCGGCTGCCTGAAAATTCACAATAAACGACTCGTTTAGTTAATGATATAAACAAAGTTGATGTACTTACAGTACGTGTTTGTTTTTCTAATGGTAACAATCGTTCGAGTGCTTCACTCAGTTTGCCATCCTGCAACAAATCGAACAAATAACGTGATAACAAAAAATGACAGTTGTTAAAGCTGAATTAACCTTCATTATTTCGTCACATTCTTTCAATTTTTGATCAACAACAGTTGAATAATCAATTTCCATTTTGACATGACGATCACTATCACCCATTGTTTTGGTTTTTGAGAGGAGATCAATGCAATCTATGTGTATAAAGAAGTATTTTTATTGATCTGAAACAAAATCATTCGATTAAAGAGATTTCATTGTGTTCTAAGTAAAACGAGAAGCAAATACAAAAAGTCAAATGAACTAACTCGAAATCAGCAAGCAGCTTTTGAATTCAAAGTAAACTTTCAATCCTAAAAAAAGTGCAGAGTAAATCTTGCTTTTTCTTTCACCTATGCCGTAGCATACTATTAAACTAAAATGCTTCCGACAACTTTTTGCCCCTCTCGTGAAAAAAACCAGTTTGGACACAAAATCAATCCTACGTCAAAGCATAACAGCTGCTTTTATCTGACTAATTTCGGAACGTAGAAGACGTAATACAGCATTCTGATTCACTTGTTTTGCTGATCAAACATTTCGTGCTGTGTCTTCAGTTGTTGTTTTTTATGAAGTATTTGTGGTTATTTATCGTCGTGAAAATTCACAACAACCATTGGATCAAAGAGGTTTCGCTTGCATTGGTATGGCTACTGGGTTTCATTGACACTAGTGACATCTCTCTCAGAGAATTTAGATGTAGACACCTTTCTCCTAATAAAAATTTGTGAGTGAAACGAATGAAAACCCGGAAGATATTTCGTATGGTTCCCTGCTAGAAATAGAGAGAAGATAATTTAATCGAGCATCAAAATGAGACTGATATAATAAATAGTCTCACTGCGGAGTATTCTATGAAAAGTGCTCTTTCGTATTCAGTACACTTAATAACCTCGAAGATTATCTATTTCTGACAAGGGGTACTTCCAATAGTTTAGGAAACATTTTCAAACAAAACGACGCAAAAAAATATCTATGGGAAAATAATATTAGTTTCAAAAGTTTTCCTAAAGTTTTGGAAATACTCCTCGGCAAAAATAGAAAGTCTTCGAGGTTATTGAGTGTGCTGAATACAAAAAAGTCCATTTCAGCAACTTAAAACCAACTTTATTTTTTTATTTCGGTGATATGCCTTTAAGTTATACTTTTGAATAGGTATCAACTGTATAAAACAAAACATCGACTACGGATAACACTGTCTTTTCCATTATGTTACCTCCTAATCAATGTCTTGTAATGTCTTTACTGGCATACAATTCATATTTTAATTAAGTATTTTAGTTTTTAGAAACCAATCTTCCTTTAAAGATCTTCGTTTCTCAGCTGAGATACATACAACTAGATAGCAGAGATGAACGAGTCGAGCTAGAGTGAACTTGAGTTACATTTATTTATCAGTTAATTTTGTACGATAAAGGTGATTATACGATCGCAAAAATTGAGAAATAATTCTTTTTCTCAGTGATTTTCTAGAAACCCTTTCGGATAACCATAAGGTTTTTGATTTATTTTTTTATAAATTTGTTTTGAATAGAATGTAGAATAATAAAAGAATAGCATAAATACCATATATTCTTTACTTTTCAACTCGTTTGATGCTTTTTGAGTGAATTATGAATTTTTTAACCTTAGATGGAAATAGCCTGGAAATCTCAATTTTCGTAAAACATAATTTTCACATTGGTTTTTAGAATCTTTCTTCGAAAATAAAAAATTTTGATAGCGTCAGAATGATAAAATGAGTAGGTGTAAAATAAATCGGTAGAGCGATGATGAGAATGTTAAAATTTAGATTTTATACAAATTCTAACCACCTTGTAAGCTGATATTACAAGATATGTTGCATGTTCAGAAGTAGATTACAATTTAAATCTGGTTTTGTTAACCTATATAGTTGCAAAATAGTTCGTCGTTTAAATGAACTACCCTCCATAAATTTTTCTCAGCCTACTGACATTCCTTCGAACTGAAAACTCAACAATTATACACATAATGTTGATTTACTAACAATTTCTTAGTTCAACTCGAAAAAATATTATCTTGAGAGATAGATTTTATCGTCAAAAATCCCTAATTTGATAAGATTTTATTCTGACTTGAAAGATTAGAATTTTTCAGTGGCCAAAACAAGGGAACAAGGATTTGGAACAAAGGAAAGGACTACTTTGTTTTTCAATCTCTCCGAACTGACGACGTCAGTATCGTGTCTTTTTCAAAAAATTGGCCGCTACCAATGACTATTAATTCTCTTAGCAAGATTACATTAGTGAAAGATATACGTAGAAATAGTTTTATAGCTAACAGGTTAAGAACTTCTTTGAAAAAACAGTGAATAGACAATAGTCACAGTTCCGACAGGTAGTACATCCCTCTCTCAATATATGTTTAAAAGTCATATATTCATATTCAATTCAATATGATCAAATAGGTCATAAGTCAACATCTAATAAATTTTGTCTTTGTATTACAGGCATACTGTCATTGTAATTATACTAATTATACGAAATTTAGTAATTATTTACTGATATTATATTTTTTAACAAAAATTCTTTATTTAACATGTTCAATTATGCAATTTGTCATATTCAATATTTTTCTTGGACATGAGAATAGTTATTATAGATTCTGATATAATTTTGTATTACTTTTCATGAGTAACATTATATGATTTAAAAATAAAATAAAATTTGAATTATGTATTAATTTATCGTATGATGTCTGTGTTATTAATCAATATACTCACTGGAAAAAAAATGTATATTCATGGTATTATGTTTTTTTATTTATTTATTTATTTGATATTAAATAATATAATTAATTTAATAATTATTATGAAACGGAATAGCGATAAAGATAGTCAATTACGATATATTAAACGTTTATGTACCATTAATAATAATCGAATAGATGATGCATCATCAGATAGTGATGATCTTGACCAATGTATTGTTCAAAAATTTTACATTCAATTATTTAATAGGTGATGATCTTTTTATTATACATTTATGAAGTAAAAATGATAGTAGCAGATGTTACAACAAATATTTCTAAAAAAATTCTTTTCAATTCAAGAAAAGAAAAATCATAACGAGATACTAAAAATATGTATGAAAGTATTTATAATAACACATTTATACGAACATACATATAGAAATATGAAAATGAATCTCGATATAAAACTGTATTTATAAAATATAGACAATACGATATAATTTAAAATATTATTCAAAAACTTTTATATGTTGAGGAGACAAAAATTATTGTTTATTTAGAACATATAGATTAGAAAGGCGTATGTATTATCTTCTGTAAACTACATATCCGTTTCACACATTAATTTTTTTGTCTTCCCTTCATTATTTGGTTATGATAGTACTATCATATCATACCGCGTAATAACAAATTACAAAAAAAGAAGAGAAGATGAAATTTCCGGTTTATCTTTTAGAATATGATTGTTGTGCCATTTCATTTGACAGTTAAGAAATGATTTATGTGCGTGTTCAAATTACACACATATGTAAGTCTTATCACGCATAAACACCAAAAAAAATCAACCATGCGCTTTCTCGGAAGTAATCTTTAATAGTCCTATGTATGTAGAAAATCATTGTTCTTTTTTTGTTTTTTGTTACCAGTCATAAAAGTAGATAGATGACTAGACGAGAGCAGATTTGAATTGTAAAATATAATTTAAGTGTTTATGATATATCGATGTCTGTTATTTAACTACTAGATAGGTAATGTTCATATACTGATTACGTTCTAATCGTTGTATTATATAAGAAAAAGAGGGAAATAATTATTATTTTATCATTCAATAGATATAAAAAATTTTAATTGATAGAAAACAAAATTATCCATTATTAATTGTCATCTACGCTAAAATTCGATATCTACTCTATTCCATCTAAATCACATTAAATCTTTTCAAATGATATAGAAATATGTTCAACGTACAATAAATCATGTCTACATGTTTATCATTTTTCAAATCATTTAAAATAACACACACGCACAATAATTGTAGGAAAATGATCTGTTTTTCATCAAGAAATGGAGCAATTGATATAATCATGATTGTTTACATGAATATAGGCAGACAGGAAATATAAATTTCTCGAAAAAATCATTATTCGTTGATAGCAAGTGTTTTTTTCTGGATAATTTCAAACTGAAAAGGTATAACAAAAATCTGATCTAAACTATTTAAAAGCATTTGATAATACATTTTGAAGCCATATTAGCGGATCCAGTAATCCATGTTGTATGATCAACAGAATGGTACAGAATACAAAAAGAAAAATCCGTCTTTAACTTTTAGATATTCTTTGTCAATTGATTTTATCAGTTAAACATTTTCTAATCTTGTTTACACATAATTATCTACTTTAAATTTGTTCTCACTGTTGACAGGTGAAATTTTATTTATATATTTCTATTGTTTTATTATCTGACTAAAATAATCAATCTCTCTCTCTCTCTCCCTTCATATATGGATGGCTTCCTTCGCTTAATTAACTCTTCTGGGCGAGATTTATTGTTAAGAATATTTTATTCTCTTGAGGGTGTCTATGTCGAACTATGCTAAACCAAAACAACAAAAACAGCAACAGTATTTTGCGTGTAAATTAAATATGGTCTCTTTAATTGGGAAACACTCAATATCTGTCATTCATCTCTCACTCAAGGCCTTAGCTTGCATGTTTGAAAAAAAAGAAGAGAGAGAAGCAATTCATTGAAAAAATAAGGTTTTACTAAATATTAGTAGAATATATAGTTTTTTGTTCAGTTAAGTGTCATTGAACAGACGTATTCAGTCATTCATTTATATTATATAATTTTTTTCTATTATTAAATTAAAAAAACAACAACAAAAAAAAAAGTGGAGAAAGATGGAGAAAAAAAAACGCAAAAGAGTATATATATTTATATATATATATGATCATTAGAGGAAAAGAGCGAAGAGAGAAAAGAAATTGAGCACATTATAATATAGATTGATCATCAAAAATAACTTTCGACTGTTGTTCGTTTCTTTTTCAAGAAAAAAAAATAAATCTCAAGTAGATATAGATCATTAAGTAATAAATTCCTATCAATTAATAGAAAGAAAGAAAGTGGAAAAATTTTATTTTTTATTTATTACGGATAAAAATCATACCTATCGTTTTTATTCAAGTAACAAGAAAAGTAAGACCACCCGTTGAAGGTTTGAAGAAAAAGTTAGCCTAATGTTATATAATGGTAACATAGTTATTGTTTTTTTACTAAAAATAATATCCGGTATATGATTTGTTCTAAGGTAGCGTTGTGCCTTTGAGCGATTTGTACAAACTTTGATTACGTATTATATTTCTTATACTTTGAAGTTATTTCGTTTCTTTCTCGTTCTAGTCTATATATAGAATATATAGTGTCCAGTTCAATTTTTTTTATTTTTTTTTTCTACGACCAGTGAAAGAAGAGAGATATATATATATACTTTGTTTCTTTTCTTCTCAGTGTATAGCTAGTGATCATCATCATCATCATTATCATCACCATCATTATACTTTCGACTTTCTTTTTTTTGTTCTTTTAATGTTCATGTAATTCCAGTGAAACAAATCGGTAGTTATTATCGCACTTTACACTCGCGCACACGCACAGTTCAATGATGCGCTTTCGAGTGATGGGTGTTCTTCAAAACAAAAAAAAAAAAAAAAGAATTGACGTTTAGTTTTTTCTCTTTCTTCTAATTTTAGATTTTTATATTATTCATTTTAATATCTAAACAAAACGATATATGATTTTTTGATTGCAATCATCTCACATCATTGGTAAGTTGAGACTATATAATACGACGAATTTCTCGTAAATATTCTCTTTTTACCAAAACTAACTAAAAATAAAATCATCGATATTTCTAAAATAGCGCACTGACTATCAGAGATTTTTTGCAGACTTTTGTAGCCTGGACGCATAGTAAAATCTAAAGTTATCTTCATGCATAAATTAGAATAGATAATTTTTGATACAACTAAAGTAGAATTTATATCTTTTCGTTGAGACAGAAACAATATATAATTCTTATTTTTTCATAATCTCTTGTACAGTTGATACGATGATGATCAAAATTATTCTTTTACTCTCCACTTAGAATTTGGTTTGAACTATCTAAAAGTCAAGACAAAATTGTGATTCTAATATTAAAAACAGATTTATTTTTATTCAATCTTCCAATAGGTATAATCGTATCTCTTAAACACGCTAAAATATACTAGTGTGTCAATGAAACGTGTGATAAAATGATCTCAAAATCAAATTTTATAATCAGAGAATGTAGTTATGCTAAAAATTTGTTTTCCTAGAATGTTGTTGTAGAGTTTAACTATCTATTAGTAAAAGTCTCATATATTCCTAACTAAACAATAACAAAAGAAATTGAATTTATTCTATTATATGGTTAATTTTGAACCTGATTACTTTTTTAATGCAGAGAAATTAGAGTAATGTTTGACTATAATTCGATAAAAACTCGCTCTAAAATGATCAAATTGTTAATGAGTGTGAGCAAAAAACAAATTTTGAGAGGGAGAGAGAGAGAGAGATGTACAAATAATTTTGACCCATCGCATACCGAACATTTATATGTTGATAGAAACTTGTTTTACAATTATTATGTCTACTCCTCTTTTTCCTTTTTTTTACAGAACATGACGGTTAAGAACTAGTAAAGCAAGAAGAATATCAGTGATATCATCGCGTTTGTTCAACTAAAAATAATGAACCATGAATATTTTGATGATCATATATCGCCATTAGGCATCGTTCATCGACCTTTATTTCTAACGTTGTATTGGTGGTCATGTGGTCATTATTTGTAAGAACAACAACAGCAACACATTCGGTGTCGTCGATACGTCTATCATTCTTTTATTTCTTGTTAAAATTAATCATATGTGTAAATAGTAGTTCGTTATTATACTCCATTAATGATATTCAATATCGTCTAAGTGATCGTGTATTAAGTATTCCAAAAATAGGTACATTACGAGGATTGTTAATTGAATATGATATACAACCGTACAATGTCAATTATAGTTTGATCAATGTTGAAGCATTTTTGGTAGAGAAAATTTTTTTTTCTATCTATTAACAATACAATTTATTGTTATTATGGATTATTTTAGGGTATACAATATGGTATTTATAGTGGAAGATTTGAATTATCTAAAGAAAAAATAGAATTACAACGAAAACAAAATCCAACAGTTCAAAAAATGATTCATTTTGGTCCTGTTTGTCCACAACGTTTATGGTATAATGAGAGTGAATTAGAAAAATATCGTTCAAAAATATTTACAAAATATTATTATAAAAATTTATTAAAATTTATTCAAAATCAAAATGAAGATAATTGTCTCTATATGAATATATATCAACCGCAAGTTCAACATTCAAAAGGTAAAATTTTCTTTTATATTGGCATATAGAGTAGATATTGAATATACTTTCTCATCATAAAGAGAGTTTGTTTCATAATAGTTCTTGTCGTTGTAACAGGTTCTAAATTATCTCAAGAGCCTATAAATGAAATAGAGAGTGGTCATACATCAGCAACTATACACCTGTATATTTATGTCTCTATGTAAATATGTGTATGATTGATGATAATGATTCAATCGTTTTTCTTTTCTTTTTTATTAAACTTAAAAACATGTTGTCGTTTTTCTTCTGTAGACAATACGTCAATTTTTATTAATGCTCATCTGATTAGTAGACACAATGATATAGTTGGTCTCATTGTCTCGGCATCTTTTTCCCGTAAAAAAAAGAAACGTTGTAAGGTAAATTAGCCTCGATGATTGATGACAAACTCATCATCATTGATCATTGTAGGAAGTATAAAGGAAGACAATGTGTGCTCTTCATTTTTATCTTGTTGACAATTAAACATAAATTTCTAGGCTTTGATGTACTTGATCACCTGTCAGCAAAGTTTGATCTATTTTTAGGCCTTGTGTAAAAGTAAAAAGAAAAAAATGTCTGTACAATATATGATGGAATTGATAAATTATTGATACTTTTTTCTTCCTTTTTTTTTAATTATAGAATCGCGATCATATACACGCATACAATTAAATGAAACATCTTGCGTGTCACGACAGTGTACACAAATATTGATCCTCTTTTGACATTCCATCATTTCATCTGTCATACACTGAACGGATTTCTATTGTTTCTATTGTTAAAAAAAACAACAGCAGAGTATTTAAAAGAGGATATTTTTGAAAAACAAAGATTAAAAATTCAGAGACAGAGTGATTAAACACTATGTAAAAATAACAACGACAACATGTTGTATCTAATTACTAAGCGAAACATGAACTAAAATATGTAATTTGCATTTATAAATTGAAAACAAAATGCTCTTAAGTGTTTGGATTATCTTTCGGTAAAGACATGATTAAGACGAGAGCAGGCTATCTAAAAATAAAAAAAGAATCACATCTTTATTCAATTAGCTATTGATTGACGAATCCAGCTAAAATATGGGAAAACATAAAAAAATTGATTTTTCAAGCTGACTGGAACATATGTTTTTACACACACACAGCGCACGTGGTGGATAAAAGTGCATAAAGAAGTAGAGGATGGACACTTTCTGAAATATTTTTCTAATATTTTTTTGAAGATAAAGATATCTGTGTTGTAGTTCATATTATTTTATTTTTTCATATTGTTTTTAGAGTTATTACCAGTTTTACTATTTATACATGGTGATGGTTTCGATATGGGCACTGGGAATGCTTTCGACGGCTCAATATTTGCTAGTTATACAAGAACAATCGTTGTCACAATTAATTTCAGATTGGGACCTTTTGGTAAGTGAAAAGAAACGTTTTTTTGATATTTCAAGTAATAATTTGTCTTGAATATTTGATAATACGTTCAATTTTTTTGTTTTTTTTCTTCATTGAAGGCAATTCTTCTCAGTTTTTCCATTTTTTATCTAAAAATCAAGATATGTTATTAAGTAGAAGTGACTATTTATTTTCTTGTTTGTTTGAATTTTGACATCAATTTCATAAAACAATGAATGTTATTATCTAAATGTCGAACGTTCTATACATATATCAAGGTTGACTAGTGATATTATTTCCTGCGATTGTCTTTTGGTTTCCGGTTATCTATGTTAAAAATATCCTGAATAATAAGTAGTCTCATGAGTCTATATATATGTATATATGAATATATATATATATTGAAAAATTTTATGCGTATGTGTGATCATTAGCCAGTCAATTTAGTCATCAATTTGTTGATTTAACATTCACGATCATTATCGTTATTCAAGCGAAAAAATGATGTAGTTTAAAATCAAATGTAAATGAACTCTAGATGTATATAGATGTGTAAACAGAGTAGTAATAGAGAGAAAACTTTTCTATTTTTTATAATTATAGGAAATAAAAATAAAAAAAATGAAGAGAAAATTTTCCAGTATTGTATATAATGTGAAATCATCTATAGAGAGTGAGAGAGAAAGATTCGAATAAAATATTTCCTATTACATGATTGAGCAATGTGTGTGTGTATATTTTAAAAGACTTTGATCAAAAAAACAAAAACGGATATAGTTTAGAGGAACAAAATCATATAAGAAAATTTATGCATAAGCATTTACTGGCGACTTCAACCATTATCTTAGAATTTTATGAATGATGATTCAATTTTTGTAATCAGTGAACACTTTAATTTATTATATTACATAGATTCTTGTTTTTCAAGAATAAAGCTGAAATTTTATAGAAGTTCTCTCTTGTATCTTATTTGAAAGAATAATTTAAAGTATAAATATTCTTTTGCACTTGATTTTTTTTTTGATTTAAAATCTTAATTTGAGAAATTACGTACTATGACACAGAGATTAACTTCTGAAAAACGATTTTTCTTGACATTTTCACTCATGTATACCATCATTAATACGCCTATAGTCAAATAAAAAAAAATAAAAAAAATGATTTATTTATTTTAATATCAGCACCATCCCACCACATATTTTAACACTAATTCATTCGATGATTTTTAATTGAGATCATTATCATCACAAAATGCGTAATGTGTCTTCATTATTATATTTGCGTTCGTTATGTAACACATTAATAGATCATTTTTGTATATATACACATAATAATATTAATGAATTTTACAAACATCATCATCATCATCATCGTGCGTTCACACAGAGTAAATTGCCTCTGAACACAAGTAAAAATCGTTGTCGTTGTTGTTTGTTAAGCAAAAAAAATAGAGATTTATCAATCAACTTTTTTTTTTCAGAACAAACACAATTGATTTATTGAGCGTAGTATATACTGTTGAGAGATTATATTTGTCAATGTATGACAGGAAAAGGTGGCAACTATCTTGCATGATCTATGTGATGATAAAAAGAAAAAAAGCTAATTTTCTTCTACTTGTTCATCTTTCGTTTACTTCATACCAACTGTCTAGAAATGTGTATATACAAAAAAATAAATGCACATTGTCATTTCTCACGAAAATATAAGAAAAAAGTCAGGGTGTTTATCGACACGAAAGTTCGTTTACAGATGGTGTTCGTTTTTTTCTTCTTCACAAAAAATAACAACACAATATTATTGACTCTATCCATTTAGTATTTTGTTAAATTGAAAATGGTACCGATATACTATCTAAGATATATGAATGAATATTACTGCACTAGTGCACCAACTGGAAATTGACATACCGCTAGAAACAAGATGAATGATATATCAATTGAAAAGTATTGTCTCCCTTTCTCTATACCAGTATTTGTTAATAGAAAAGAGAATGTCCCTTCCTGTCTCGAACTGTGTCATTTAAAACTATTTAGTACACAATCTCTTTATTCCACAGTGTGTATAAAGCCTATTAGACATACAGACAAAAATGCTTGGGTTTTTTTTCTTCTTCTGACAGAAGATAAAGTGACTCTTGAATTAATTACATTCTTTTAATCTCACTGGCCTGCTCTCGATCAAACTATATAACGATATATCGTTGTCTGTCATCATCACACTACATACAGGTTGTAAAAAAAATTACTTCTTCTTTTGAATGGATAATGTTTTTTCTGATACTTTTTGAAGTAAAAGAAAAAATGTAATGACGAGAGGACAATGCCCAATAAACATTCAATTAAAAAGAATATCGAGTCTAAATAACAGCATCATGAATAAAAAATTCATTTTTCTTCTTAAACAAAAGGTGAATAAAAAAGAAAGTGTATCGTTAAAAAACATTTCATTCAGAATTAAAAAATATTGGTGGACAATATTTCAATTACGGGAATAACAATTGTGGTTTATATATTTTTTTGACAGACAGACACTTAGCATACTGCTCATGATTATTTTTATGCTGATCATTCGTAAAACAAACACTACTTTACCCAATTTGAGATTTTATCGAAGTCTATCCTTCTTATCTGATATATTTAATTCTCGTATGTTTAGTGTGCCAAGAGAATTCGTGCGTAAACAGGAGATTTTAAATAAATAACTATAAACCTTTATTTGTGAGAAAACCTTCAGTAGTATATTATTATCCTTGAATTGTCTGTTATTCTAGTAGATAGATCATTATAAAAACTGTAAAAACAGAAAAGAAAGTTTTTCTTTTGCATTTTAAAGTACTATAAGCCCAGAATGATTGATATTTCATGCAATGTGATAATCGTCTTTATATAGAAAACTCTTCAATGTATAATAATACTTTTAGTCACGAATAGATAGTAAGAATTACTTTGATTTCACAAGTAACGAACACTACCTGAGATTCTGAGAAGCTAACATACATGTATCTTAAGGCTAAAATATGACTTAATCTGACTACATTCTTTGGGTTTCGATGGTCTAGACGCGATAAAATCCATTGAACAGTTGTTTTTTTTTTAAAACCATGGCACTTGATATTGCCTACAACAACATCAATATGTTGAGATATGTATACATCAAAAACATTAAAGAAAGAAGACAAACAAAACAAAGAGAATATACATTTATACGATATATAATCTTGATCTTATTTGTTCTTTTTCTCTCTATACAGGATGAACAGTTGCTCATCCCATATTAACAATGCAAAACATATACATACACACATGTGCCGAAAAGAGAAATTAAGACAATGATGTCATTAAACCATAAAATCTTTTTTGTTTGATGATAATGCTCTTTAAACGTTGTGGTTACTAGACGAGATAGAAATATGGCCGATAATAGAAAATACCAAACGTCTTACGTTAGCTGAATTTCGTCGTATTTAATAGTGATGAATATCGTTTTTCCGTCGTTAGAAAACTCGATTAGAGTCAGTATCGATGCTAATGAAGAATGATATAAAGGTCATAATTTCTGCATTTATTTCCATTGTCAGTTTATACATCCTAAATGTACAGTAAGCAGAATTTGGACTTTAATACTTCATACAATAAAAACAATGTTTGTAAATATAATACGTTGATCTTGGAAAAAACACCATGCCTTTCTCTGGGACAAGACAAAAACAAATGTCAGAATAAAACTGGTCCACTGATGTTCATCTAGTAATGGATCTTTGAAGAAAAATTTTAAAATACAAACTTTGTTTAACGATGATAATGAAATTATTACTTCACATCATCATGATATTCCTGATCTCAACACTCATGTATCCTTATCAGTTAGAAAAATTGTTATTAAATCGATTGCAGCTAAAAATTTTCAGGTACAAATAAGAAGAGTGGTAGAAAAAGAACATACATGCGTTTAGTATCGTATTCATAAATATTTGATTTTTAAAACTATTCCCGTTTGTTTATTCATCAGGTATTTAATCAAGAACTGATTTTATTGCTTGTGATGATGATCATTTTTGTGTACTGATTTAATGATATTTGTGACAACATGTCAGCTAATATCTATTAATATATTATCTACTTTATTACAAGTAAACACAGCTTTCATATTGAATTAAAATAGTCTCCCTGTTTGGATATGTGGATGTAGTGATGTTAATCGAAAGTTTCATCCCTCTAGTATCACATTAATGGGAACCCATATGAAGTTGTACGCTCATATATTAACGAATTTTTAGACGATCAATGAATATATATTTAAAATAACAGATAAGATAAGTCTTCCGTCTGTACATTAGTGACTGAATATGGTGTTCACAATAGATGATTTATATGAAGATACATATTTATTGGGTGATGGAAGAAAAGATATAATAGTAGCCAAAAATATAGAATTTTCAACTACGAGACATTTTATTTCTTGTGAGCATAAAACTAAAAAATATTGGTGAATATTAATATCATCAACCACACAGAAAATTATTGAAAATGATTATTTCTGCAATTATCATTTCGCAACCATACGTGTCAGAATAAAGTTGCATTGTTTTTATCTAAAAGATGGTAATAAAATCTTTATAAAAATACATTTTTGTATTGATCAGGCCATTTTCATGGTTGTACGACTGTAATCAAAGCAACATTTTTATTTGCTCATGGATAAATTTGAATAATTTTTTAACGTAGTTATTGAATTTTAAACCTATAAATGCGGTGTTTATATAATACTAGTTTGAAATCTTTTATAGACTTTTGATTAATCGATTCATTTTGAGTAGAGGCCTACAATCCGAACCGATCCTGGAATTGGATCGGATTCGCGTTAGATTACTGGTGGGATAGTTTTTCGACTGTCAGTTTGACTTACATTTTCTTCGCCTGTGTAGATTTCTACTTTTCGGTATTATAATCGATACTATGTTATAGATAAAAGATGTAGATGACCAAAAAAAGCAACATCTGCATGATCTCATTAACGTTGTTTTTGTATATATTTATAAAATGCTTCCGTAATCATGCAACAATCAAATTTCGTGCATAAAAGTTTTAAAATATTTAAATTATTCGCTTCATACATGAATTTAAAATGGGCAAACACAAAAAAAGTAATTGTTTTCATCTAATGGCATGATTAAAGATAATTATTCATTAGTATGAATAAAGTGTGAATGCACATCAGATACAATATATCGTCTTGAATAGATTTGACCATTCTCTCTGTCTAGATACAAGTGTTTCTTATTTTCTACAAAACATTTGGCACTGATTGTTTGATACTTATAGACTACTGATCTCTTTTCCATTCAGATATTATATCTTTTTTCACCTAGCTTTTTTAAGCTAAGCAAATTTTTTATATTTAACTAATTTTATTTTATATAGGTTTTCTTTATATTAATCGTGAGAACAAAGGTGATTATGGATTAATGGATATTTATACGGCTCTTCATTGGTTAAAAGGAAATATTGAACATTTTAATGGAGATTCCAATCGTATTACATTGTATGGTACCGGTACTGGTGCTGTTCTTTCTAGTTTAGTTGTTATGCTTGAAACAGTGAATGGTAAGTTATAGTGGTAATAGTAGATTCGTGAGAATAATTTATCAATAATTTACCATTTATTTAGGTGGAACAGGCACAACAAAACGACGAAAACCTCTTGTAAGACGTATGATATTGAACGATGGTACATTTCTCTCACCATTTATGACATCATCAATAAATCCTTCTAATCCAACTATACATGATCCAACGCTATATACATCAAATTTTTTCGATGCACTCAATTGTTCACATAATTTATCTGCACGCGACATTCATTCATGCTTAACAAATAAAACGCAACTATCAACATCAACCATACTATCAATAAATACTTATGTTAATAAATATTATAATTATCTAAATCCATTGGAAGAACCATTTCCATTTTTTTCTAATGAACATTTACGTCATCGGTTTTTTCACCAAACAAATTCTCTATTACCCGAAAAATTTGATGTTCTCATCACAATGTTATCACCATCATCATCATCATCAGAAATAAGCAGTAGTGAATCAATACAATTTCATGAATTTATTAAAGATATGTATACGATATCAAAACATACAATTAATTATTTAATTAAATATGCTTATTCTATATGGAATGATAAAGAAAATAAATTTGAATTTAATTTCAAAAATTTATCTTATCATCAAACAATTGTTGCACCACTATTACAATATATTGAAAAAATATCAAAAAATACACATACAATTGAATGGCAAATAAAATCAAATAATAGTAGTTATGAATCGGAATTACTCTATACATTTGGCTACATGTTAGCACCATCGATGAGTATTTATAATGATTCATATTTATATGCGAATAAAAATGATCGAATTAAAAGTTTACAAATAATGGATTTATTCGCAAATTTAATACATAACGGGTAAGTATGAGAGTGTCTACTCGTATTGTACACAACTATAAATCTAATTATTATTGTTTTAGTGATATAAATATAAACGCACGTGTTTGCAAACATGAGTACTGTTATCAGAGTGATGAAAAATTTCATCCAACATTTCCAGAATTCAATTTCATTATTATTAATGGTACGTTCTATTTTAAAGATGCTTTTTTTGTTTTTAATCGACTTTTTCGTCAGAAATAAATTCAGTTTATAATTGAAATATTAAGGTCTGTTTCAATAGTTCATGTTATAGAAAATTAAAACTATTTTTAGATAGTAAAATGTATCAAAAACGTGGTCATCATGCAAACGTTCATTATTTATTCAATCATCTAATAACATCATTATCATCATATTCATCGTCACTAATTAATGATAATTCAGACTATGAATTGTTACGTGCATGGTCAACGTTATATGAAGTATCACAATTTGATAATAATACAACAAATATGAAAAATTTTATAACAAAAACGAATGATAAAAATCATCATCAAGATTATGTTTCGTCTCAAAAACAGTTATTATTTCCAACTTATCAATCAATTTGGACATTTAATACAAAATTATTCTTAGTACTAGCTATCACAGGTACAATTTTATTTCTTATTAATGTGATATTGTGTTTTTTATTAATTACAAAACGATATGGAACACATAGACATCATCATAAGAAAAAAGATTATCAACATTTAAATGGGCACACACCTGTCACAACAACAAAAAAGACAAATGGTTATGTTTCATCTTCATCACCTAGTAGCATAAACAGTAATGGAACAGATCCACATACTCTTGAGCCAATATCAGTTCCTACAACTACATTCTCATCTGTCAGCACAACTAATACATCTTCTATTGATACATTGATTAAAACAACAAATGATTTAAATTCAGATATAAATACAATGATAGATATTTTACAACCGGTGAACATTACGAAAAAAACAGGTGGCACTATTAAATGTAAAGATAAAAAGACACAACAATGTCTAGTGGAAGCAATTGTGTAGATTCATTTCAGTTTTTAGTTTTGTTCATGTCAAGTTTTTTGTAGTTAAATAAATTTCTGTTTTTTGTTTTTGTTGTTACCATTTTCTGTTCCCCGAAGATTATACGTAAAAAAATTTTCTATTTCTGCAATAAATCATTAAAACAGTAGAAATATGATGCATTCATAAAAATTTTTTTAATATCCACTGTAAAAATAGCGATCATTCTAATAATTTATATAAAAATCTACAGTTCATCCGGTTAGTTCGCGTAGCTTGTTGGAAAGCAAGTGCTTGCCAAGCACTACTTGGTTAATGAGTGTATTTGGGAAACTTAAACATTGGGCGAAAGAAACGCTGCGTTAGGATGATCTTTTGTCCAGAGTTGTAATTGATGCCTAGCAAAGAAATGTGCGTCGGCAGCTGTATTTATAATCACCACACCTGAGGATTTCAAAGAACCCGATTTGGGCCTTTCTTGCGATAGGTAGATTTCCAGCAAAGCAAAATGGAAAATCACTTTCAAATAGTGTATTCGACGCGTCTTTCCATTATCTATTGAATGGTAAAATAAAAACTTTCATAGCTTTAAACTTAAATCGAAAAATTCGAGATACCGGTGGGAATTTTTGAGTTTTTGCCTGTTTGACGCTCGTTTCTTTTTACAACATCGAATTCTCAAGGTCGCTTTCATATATTTTCCATACCCACTGAAAAAAAATTTACAAATTCCTGTGTGTGAATGCAAGAATCACAAAAAATCCTGTGAATGTTGGTTATATGCTGCAGGTTGTCACATTACGTTATCTTGCCGAAAATTTTCTTGCAAGTTGGTGAGTATAATCGTGAGGGTTCTTTAATATGCTCACTTTTTAAATTTCTTTCCTGCATGGTCCTGGAGGATTCTTTTCTAGGCACACCACGTAGGCGCTTTTACATGTGTTCCTCGGATATATCGCGCAGATTCTTCACTTTGCATATCCTGCGGAATTTTTTCCTCCCTGTTATTCATTCGTAATACACAAGATATCTCACTACGTAAACCCTGCAAGGTCTGTACGATTTTATCCTGGAGAAAAGAAACGGTGTCTCCCAGGAAAAATGAAGTTTTTCACAGCAGTGGGGTCATTCTAATGACTTTAATTTCATATTGACGGAAGAAAATAGAATATTCCTGACATAAAAAGGATCTTTTCAGCTATCCGTTAATATTTTCTTCAGTCGGTATTCGACATGGGCTTTCAGATCTCACAAGATATGATTTGTCCCAACTCAATGCCTTGTAACTATAAATCCTACAAAATTCGATTTTTCCAGATTTGATGATTTTTTCAGCTTTCTTAAAATGATAGATATGATACGAGTTTAGGATTACAATCCCAAGGTAAACTTGCATACTGAATTCAATGCTCATGCCAAACATACCCAAAATAATAAATTTTAAGAAAGCTGAAAAATCATAAAATCTGGAAAACTCGAATATGATGTGGTTTATACACAGCAGGAAATTTGTTAAACTTTCCGACGCGTTATGGCCGTTGTGCCTTTCGAAAACAGAATTTTTGATGCATTTTTACGAGTTTTGCATTTAATAATCGTTGATTTTTGACGCGTTGAAACCATATTAAATTTTTTTGGATTCCTCAAGTAAAAACACATCGAATGGTATGTGTTTCTGCTATGTATAAAATAGATTTCTCAGAGAAGAGTAGCCAAAACTGCATAGGAAATTTTGAGTGATTTTAGCAAAAGCGGATTTTCACTAGTGACAATCTCAACCATACTAATTGATGTTCTGCGCCTTGGTTGGTTCCTTTGTCTATATCTGAATTTTGCATATAGCCATACGCAATTGAGTGCGGCGCGTCGATTGGTGAAAACAGAATCTTTTCAAACTATTTTCTGGCAGAGATACACATCGTTCTTTGCATATTCCTACGTGACCCTTTAAAATACAAAAGTGACTTAGCTGAGTGAATAAAGGCTAAGGGTACGAACGATTTGCACCACTGCACTCTGCACAGTAAGCTCTCTCTACTAGAGTATATGCCATTCAAAATCTTGGGTCACAGTTTGTAATATTCTCTCGTTAACTGAAACCGCCAGAATGCTCTCGACTCCTTTCTTGTTGGTTTCCATGCTGTCGTCGGTATTTTTCACCTGGCACAAATAGTCAAAAGTGTTTTAGTTTTGCCTTACTCGTTTTACTTACTGTTGTTTTGAAGCTTTTCCATTCAGACCTTAATCTTATTGCGATTTTTCTCTACCTGGGTCGTTATTCTTTCAATTTGGTTGATGTCTACAGTCCTTCTGGTGAGGATCTCTTAGTAGCCACCCTGCGAACATATTTAACATCGTTATCGACGCTCTTTTTGGATATTTTTTGGGATCCTAATATCAAGCCTCCGTGGGCTGCTTGCCGAATTCCACATACAAAAGGCAGAGCTTCTGAGGAGCTCTGCAGTGGTTTAAGTTTGAACATAGATGAACCAAATGGCGCAACAGATTCCTATGTTTTTCCTGTTGCAGTCATAAAACCAGTTAATATACCGTATATTAGTCAACTAAACTTCAAATAACAGCACCTTATTTTAGTTTTTACTGATGTTGGTATACGTTTTGAAAACTCTTCGACACTTCGACGTACTTATCAAGAGAGGGTATATTTGCTCATTCAGAAGAAACACGACTATGTCGCGATTATCGACATACAACAACAAATCGCTGTTAGTTCGATACCATCTTAGAATTTAGAAATAATTACCCTTGTATTTCGAATTCAGTTTTTCAATGAATGAATTCATGATTGGTCCGGCGTAACGGAAATTTTCTACAGTTATGGTACGACTTGACGGAGATGACACTGATGTGGCGCATCTTTGAGCAGTTGCTGACACTAATGGCTCATCCGTTTTTGGTGTTGCTGCCATTTTTTTGAAAGTTTTAGCACCGGGACCAATTTCCTATTTTTTCTCGGATCATCTAATTTCGCGTCCCTTGATAATGTAGCCATTCTAGCTTATTCACATCATAGGATAGACAACAGAGCCTGTGTAAAACAAAATGATGATTCAAGAGTTTCCAAGATCTTAGTACAAGATGTTCAAGATTTTGACTTCTTGAAATTTCTTGAATTCTTATATTTTCTTACCAAATTCAAGAAGTCAAGATCTTGGTTACAAGAAGTTCCACCAGGAGTGATTGCATGAAAGAGACGACCTAACGCATTAGACCTTGCTCAATTTTTTTTTAAAATTTAATTCTGATTTCGCCAGTTTGTAGCCCTATTAAAGTTGAGTATATTTCTGAAATTTTTAGTCTTTAGCGGTGTTTCATTGATCAGGAATAAATCTGTTATCTCGACACATCACTCTATTTCCACACGTTTTATGACTTTTTGTATGGTCTGACATTATGCACCAGTAACATTTCCAATCGAGATTTTTGGTGGCTATATAAGGCGCGCGTAATTCAGAAATCAAGTACTATTTTATTTTTAGCTTCTTTATATATGATTCGATAGAGAATTTGAAGCTGATCACCAATATCGCCTTTTTAGCCTTCCCAGTGCACGTTTGCGCGTCGAAAAATTGAAAATACGGGAAGGGTTTTAAAAGCCGAAAAACTTTCCCGTTTCGAAAAAAGTTGAATACTTTTTGTCCTTTTTATTTTGAAACTCTCAAACAGCTTTTTTCTAATTCAGCGTTGAAAATCGAATTAGAAAATGTGCCTTTTATGCTTTCCATATGTAATGTCATTGCACGAAAAATTCCTCTTCAAGGATATCTCCAAAGCGGAGACCTCATCGGATAAAGCTATCTAGTTTTTTTTGGTAAAAGATAGAATGTTCATTCGTGCACCATTTGAGCGATCTTTATTCGAACTACAAAAGTATAACTCGTTTTTTTCGAAATTCCTCTCCATTGCTGAGAAATTTCACTTTTGCTAAATCAGGAGCGAAAAAATCGGAATTCTGCCCGTAATTCTCAATTTTCTCCACTAGAACTCGCTTTTTATGCAATAAAAGTATCATATTCAGAGTTAGCGTCAGAAACTGAGCCGAATGATAGATGATTTGAAAGTTTCCGATGATTTTCAGTTTTTGGTGAAAATTTTGTGTTTTTCGAAATTTACTAAGATTTTCACCAAAAAATTAAAATCACCGGAAGCTTTCAAATCATCTATCATTCGGCTCAGTTTTTGACGCTAACTCTGAATATGATACTTTTATTGCATAAACGCGAAAGTTTTTCGGCCTTTAAAACCCTTCCCGTATTTTCAATTTTTCGACGCGCAAACGTGCACTGGGATGGCTAAAAAGGCGATATTGGTGATCAGCTTCAAATTCTCTATCGAATAAAATTCTCTAAAAATAAAATAGTACTTGATTTCTGAATTACGCGTGCCTTACTAGACAACGAGTACTACACATCTATCGAGTTTGGGAACACGCATTTATATGATCATTCGCTTCCTTTTAACTGTTTCTTAGAAAAACAAACCTGACATACGTTTAATTTACAAAAGAAAGTCGAGAAAAAACTAGGTTTATTCATTTATACTTCTTTCGTTCAAAAAGACCCGCATGCATTCATGTGACATACAAAAAGCTTTTTAGTACTCGAAATTTTAGATCATTTTAATCTCCTGTTTAACTGACATATTAACATTTAGTTACACATACATTCAAATACATATATTAATGAGTATTCGCATCTATCTCATGCCTCCAAATAGCAAGATAAATATGAGTGAAGTTAGTTTTTTTTCTGTGAAGAAATGAATAATAGCAGGATTTAACAAAAAATTAGTACTCTCTGGAAGATTCAAAAGAAAACACCTAATAAATAAGAAAGACAACAGAGGTAGATGAACTGTCGCGTGCACGAATGTTTTTTTTTCATCGAAAAGAAGAAAAAAAGATGACGAGTTTCGTTCATGACAATGAGAAAAAGTTGAAATCGCAACACCATTGGTAAAGATAACGTAAAAGAAACAAACAAACATAAAAAGAGTTTCTAAGGCATAATACAGATAAGAGGCAACAACTTTGAGGCATTTATTCATGATTAATAGAATTGTTTTTTTTGTCTTTTGTGCGTTAATTTGATATAGAAAAACGATCAGATATCGTCAACATTGATAATTTCACCATTGACTTCGATTCTCGATTCTTCAACTCTTGCTGCCCGAGGATTTTCTCTGGCAACTTCCAAGCCATCAGCTGCATAACTAAAATTGATAGCGACCTAGAAAAGAAAGGACACATAGTACGACGTTTGTTTTACATTCTCTTAACATCAACGGCTTACCGCCTCGTTTTCAGCTGCCGTTTCTTCTTCACCATCTTCTTGCTCTTCGTCGCTGGCTTCATCAGCTAAAATGGAAAGGGCGATAACGAAAATAAATAATTGTTTTTAAAAAAAATACCTGTTTTTAGCCATTCAATGAACTCTTTTGCCATTTCCCGTATTTTCTTAGCGATTTTCTTGTCTGCACAACGTTTGGGTGTCTAGAAAAGGTGAAAAACATAATTCACCATTTTAAATGTAAGATGAAATTAAGTTCTTTCATACCTTGTCATACCACGAATAAAATGTTTCTTCTTCAATTATACCATCTTCATACAATTTCAGAAACGTTTTTGCAAGCGACTTTTTATTATATAATGTTTCTTTTAATGGACCATTACCAATGAACGTCTCCAAACCGTGTAGAAAGTATTTCTGACCTCTTGAAGTTTTTCTGCACAACTAAAACAGGCAATATTCTCAACTATCATTTTTTTATCAAAAGCATAGCACCCACATACTTTTAACAGCAGAACTTTGTACGTATCGATTTCGTTCAAAATATTTTCTGTGAATAAAGATTGTGCTAAAACAAATGGTACTTTTTCCATTATTTCGAGACGTTCGGCTTCTGCTAATATTTCTTTAATTATTTCTGGCTTATTCAATCCATTCGATGTTTTTTTGTTCTGAAATATAACAGATTTCTACCATATCAGTTAAACTAAATAAAAATTCAATTTACCTCCAACATTTCTAAAAACATTTCACATCGTTCGGCAACTGATTTATCGAGATCGCGTGATTGTATCATACTTGTAACATTTGAATCGAGCTCATTATTAGTATTCGAAGCATCCGTGGGCGATAAATCATTGTCTACCCAATCGTCTACCTCATCAACATCACCATATGCTACACCATTCTATAATTAGCATAAACAGATAAATAAACTGGCGTTATATTCATTTCAATTCAAAACATACTATGTTTACTACACCATTTGAAGAATCACCAGAAGGCACATTTCTCTCGTTCCTTATTATTCCCCCAGTATCAGGCGGATGTCTTGATATATATGCTGTTAATCTATGTGATGCCATATTAATTCCGCCTTGATAACCACACGCAGTACAATGCTGACGAATTTCACCACCAGTTCGATTTCGCTCTAAAAAACTCTATTAATACAAGAAAAAAAGTTTACTTAAGAAAAGAAGTTACTTCTCTAAAATAATTAATATTTCTCTTACGCATACTTACCAATTGCGTCTCCGGATTGTCGCAATGAGGACATAAAACAAAACGTTTAATGAAGCCATCCAGTAAACTTTGTAGCTTTTCGGCATCATGTGCACCATTAACGATATAACGATCATCTCTCGCAACCATTTGAACTTGAGCACCCAATTCACAGCCAAAAAACTTTGTTACATCTAATCATAAAAAGTCAAAAACATTTTATAATGAGAAAAACATGTGACAAAAACTCTCCGCTTACATGTCGGTGGTCTACTTAACGCTTTTGCTATTTGTGTCATATTGACAATAACCGTTTTAATTCCATTGCCTGTGCCCTCAATCTAAACAAAGCACATATTCTACAAATATAGTACAGTGACAGTCAAAATTGAGCGTCCACCTTTATTTTTAATCTTGGTTTTCCAGGGACCTGGTTTGCAGGAATTTTCATATACATCTCATCTGATTATAAACTCTTCCAGCTGTTCAAATCTTTTTTCACATTTGTTCTAGCTATTATGGTCGAGAGAGAAAATTAAAAATAAAGGTGAAAGCTCAATTTTGGCCATCACTGTATATACCATCAGGTTTATTCTGATGTTTAGGGTTTAAGACAACAAAAGTCCTGTCAACATCCAACTCACGAGGGAACAACCTCTCCAGGTTGCAAATCGCTTTCGGGCTAAAACCTAGTCGATTATAGATTATCGACTATGCTGATTCCGAATATAACAATCATTTTAGCCGATAGGTCTTTAGAGACCGGATTTCTGGTAAACCACTTTTTCAAAACTCCTAAAAAATAACCAAAAACATTGTTAATTAGCCAGGATTGTAGCCCGCAGATTTCTGATTAAAATGAGACCCTTCCAGCTCTACATGGTCTTTCTTTGCAAAGTTGTAGAATTTACGAGAAAAGTCCTAAATTAACTTCTTATTTCTGTAGCTTTGAGCTGACAATGAACAGTTAGGGTTTGTCTTGCAAACTCTATACCTTTGCAAAGAAAGGTCGTGTAGACCTGGGAGGGGTCTCATTTTAATTAGAAATCTGCGAATTACAATCTTGGCTCATTAACAAAGGTTTTGGTTATTTTTNGAGTTTTGAAAAACTGGTTTTCCAGAAATCCGGTCTCTGAAGACCTATCGGCTAAAATGATTGTTATATTCGGAATCAGCATAGTCGATAATCTATAATCGACTAGGTTTTAGCCCGAAAGCAATTTGCACCCTGGGGAGGTTCCCTCGTCAGTAGTATATAACTAACCTTGGCAACCAATTTTGGCATTTTATAACGGTAAAACATATCATTGGTGTTGCGGTTCACTAAAAGTAAAACAATAACTGTTTCAGATTATTTTTTGTCAAAAAATATCTTTATAAATCATACCATTAATCATTGCCATTTTGATAAAGATATTGCTAAATGTTTTTATTGACTAGTATCTAAATACAATTGCATTTTTAATTACACCCAACGTATTCTGTTTTTGGAGAAAATAAACAGCTACAACTTACTTTTGTTTTTTATACCGTGTGACCGGTGAGTGTTTAAGTTGTTTGAATATGCAACTATATGAACATAAAGCATTAATCATAGAAGGTTGATCAGAAGGATCCGTTCTTCCAATTTGACGACAATGATGTCCTTGAACTTCTTCTTGAATATCTAAATCGAAAATAAAATCACAATAATGAAAAATAATTTAAAAAATTTTTAAGTTCATACTTCGAATCAAAAACTTCATAAAGAAACCGAATTCCAAATGGTCCCTTTTAATTAGCTTGTTTTAAAAACGTGATTTTAAAATATCTAAAATAAAACAATATATTCTTCAGGCGAGTAGACTATATTTGTGAAACGTTAAATCGAAAATAACCGACCTTGAGCATTTAGAACACATGAAAGATATGTCTTTAGAATACGAATATACAGTTAAAAATCAATTGCTGACTTAATTCTTTTTATAATGGTAACGAGAACATTAACAATAATGACGAAGTTGAATTACCTTTGTATATGAAGGAGAAAAGGGGAAAAAAATTATAAATCGTAAGTATCTCTAGAATACATAGGCGAGTAGAATAGTTCTCAGCATAAATATCAAGATCAAACACGTTTTTTTCTTGTCCTTGCATTAAATAGTACATATATAGTTGACACGTCTATTCAATAGGCGGTGCGAAGGAATGGGAAGAAAAATATATGTTGGGGATTAAATAAACGGGAGGGTAAAGCAAGTTTTTCTTCTCTATTTTTGATTGCTTCCCACCTGCTGTAGTAGCAATCTATCACGATATTATGGAGTTTTAGTACCTTTAACATTGATAATTTTGTTCTATAGCCAGAAAAAACCCACTATAAAATGCTTTATGTATTTTGTTTGCCTCGCAAGTAAAAGAACGAACTAATTTTTGTTACTACATATTGCGAAATTTGAAAGATAAAATTAAATGACCTCATCCACGTATGTCATTCATTTTGGTTAGAAAATGTTAAGAAAATTACTCAAAGATATTGAACATTACACATAACACGGAAAACAGAGAAAAGGGTGTAGAAAAATCTGTCAGTAAAATCGTATCGTTTTTGAGCAAAGATTTACTTTCTATATCAAAATATATTTTTTTACTCCCTGAAAAATCTATTCACTGTAGGACGTGTTCAGAGGGGAAACTACACTAGTGCCGCTATACCTCCTTCCACGGCGTACAGTTTCATGCCGGGAACAGAAAATAACGGCTATAAATGTTTATCGGAACATAAATAAATAAATTGATTCAATCTTACTTTATTAATTGTGTGTATAGATGTGAGTATGTATGTACTTAAGTGCCACAAACTGTTGATGTAAATCAAATTTAGCAATCTAGTGAATTTGAGCGCCGTTTTCATTCGTCATAATGAGTCTCGCTAAGCAAAAGAAATGCTACTTTTTCTACAGATAACGGATGGCCCAGAAGTCCTGACCCGATTGAATAATAAATTTTTCTATACTGAAACAAGTGGTTGTAAATTTGTCTCTATGAAGAAAAGATGCAGTAAAACACGCTTTACAAAATGACTATTGATTGACCCCGCTAGCTCATATAGTAAGAAAGTTATAGGCTTAGAAATGTGCATAACAAAAAAGCAAAATCAACCGTGAACCTTTAGAAAAAAGGAACCATAAAGACGTTTCTTTATTTAAAAAATGTTGCTTTACTTAAAAAAATGGTGGACTAAGTACAGCTTGAGCACTCAGCTCATTTGCAAAAGCACATTAAAGTAATTATATAATTAATTTTAGATGTCGAATACGTTTGCTCTAGAGGAGCAGTTTCGTGGACTTTTCTTTTTCAGAAACTCTAAAAAGTAATCAAAACCTTTCTTGATGAGGCATCATTGTAGCCCGCAAATTTGTGATTAAAATCAGACATCTCCACCTTCACATGACCTTTCTTTGCAAAGTTATAGATTTTACAAGAAAAGCCCTAATTAATTTCTTCTTATTTCTGTAGCTTTGAGCTGGCAATGAACATTTATTATTCAAATCGGATCAGGTCTTCTCCAGGCCACCCTACAACTTTCTATGGTCGAACTAACTCAACTTAAAGAAAAAATTTTGAGAATATAACTACCTGATACACTGAATTCTGAAATAAACACAGAAAAGATCACTGAAAACCGTAATTAGTCTGTCTTTCCTCCTTCTCCAAAACTTGTACATCTAATTCTATCTGTAATAGGCGCTTTCATAAACTTGAGTGTCATTATCCTTATTCGAATCTTGCTAAGTTTCGTAAAGCAAGAAACCTTGTTCTTTGTCTTTATCGTTGTGAAAATCTCCTTGTCTTCAATTTTCCCTCTTCGTTATTTTCTGATCCTCGCATGTTGTAAAGCACCGAATTTTTGTACAGCAGCAGTCATTTATTTAATAATTTAAGTTTATCTTGACGTTTCGACTCTTTATTGAGTCATTTTATAAAATCTGATCACTCATCTTTTTCTCATTCTTCTTCGACGGAAAAACTGTTTCGTTATGGTGTGAATGGTTGTTACTTTCTCTTCTTTCTTCTTACTTCTCCAACCGGTTATAATGTGTGCGTGTGAATGATTCTACCTCTTCTGGTGTACCACAAGGTAATGTGCTTGAACCTTTTTCATTTCTGATTTTCAATAACGATCTTCCTCTTCCTCCTGATAAAACAGATCGAAGTTCGAAGTGGATGGTGACTCAAAAGTATAAGAATACATTCTCATGACTAATGTTTTTAATAGATATTTTCTTCCAGTGGAATTGACATTACAAGGGAAGTTTTATAGTTAGAATTCTTCGTTCAATCAAAATTCACTTCACAATTAGCGTTATAGTTGGAAACGCAATAGAAAATTCAAAGTCACCGTGGAAATTACAGCGGACATCAGTTTTTACAGTGGCAAATACGGTTATCCCCTGTGCTATTAAAAACACTGCCCATCATATCTTCTAGACAACGAAATAGACCGATATCATCGTTGTTTTGTAAACAAGAAAAAAGTATTCTAATTGGCAACAAATTGACTCTATAAGTCACACAAATAAGATGGATAGTCTATTCGTTGCCATGGGCCTGTTTTTCGCCTAACGAAACAATATTTCTGATTACTTATAGATCAGCTGCGGTTGAACGAGAATTCAGAGCCGCTGACCATATTCTAAATAAACGTTTCAAACACAAAAAAAGAATAAAGCTTCCATTTTTGATCGAATTAAGTTGAATCGAACTGATTCAGGTTTTGAAAGTGTTCTTCCGAATTGATCCTAATTTGTTTCGGGTTCTGATTCGTACTTACCTTGACGACGTCGATTTCAACAATGAAGTTATATTATAATCTTGAATTATTATTTCATTTGCTATTGTTCTTTTATTTCTTTTCGATATAGTTTCCATGAACTTCTTACTAGTAGAGGTCACTGAACAACTCTACATAGCAACGACTAACACTGACTAATAGAACCTATAATTGAATTTCGCCAATTACTGTTGTATATATCAGAATGAATTGCTGTTGAAAATGATTTACTAGCAACGTGTCGCACTTATCTGGATGACATATGCCACTTAACGGTTGTTAACAAAGAAACACTGTCGCACCCTTTATTGACAACGAGTGTAAAACATATCACCAGATTGAAAAATTTTACAAGCCTCACTGATCTACGTTCTTGAAGCTATTCTTTACGGATTCTTGCGTCGTATAAATTCTTAAAGGAATCTTTGTCTATGATTTTTCGTTTCAAAATCTTGCAAAGAAAAAAAATCTGATTGATTCTTCCAGGAATCATGTGACTTCAAGAATTTACCAGATTTTTTTTATTTAAGGAATCTTTTCTTGAAAATCTTTAAAAGTTCTTGTAATATTCTATCTCTTTTATAGGTATAGTCACAATTAGAAACTTGTAAAAAATTTCGAAGGAAAAGTTTCTACCTATGATCATAAGCAGACTTTTTAGTAGAGAATGAGTAAATCTTGTCTTCTATCGATGTTAGTGGCATATCAAAGAAATATACAATTAAACAATTTCAATGAACATATTGACTAGTTTTGAATGAATTATTACTAATTTGCGAGGAGTAGGTACAGTAGATGAAATTAATTTTAAGAGTTTTATAACGTTTAACCCCTCAAAATTCTTCCCTCAAAGTTCCCGGGGACTCCCCGAAAAAAGCATAATCCTCGAGGGCTCCGGAGTCCTCCTCAAAGTCCCTGGGAATCCCTAAAAATGTGTACTCCCCGGGGAGACCCTAGGGAGTCACCTTCATACACCACAGGGAGTCCCCAACATGTGCAATTCTTGGGGAGTTCCTGCCTACTCCCCATTCACCATTTGTTTTGCAGATAGACAATATATAAATATAATATAGTTCTATACGATGAAGTTTTACGAATTTTCTTCTAGTAAGTCAACATCAATGTGTCAACCTTCGATGGCTGACATGTGCTACATTGGTACCAGTGATGATACCTGGCACTTAATTACTAATTAGTTATATGAAATTAAATATAGGGAAGGGAGTCCCCAGGGATTTTTAGGGTGACTTTCTTGGGAAGTGTCGATTAGGGTTCGTGAAGATGACAGCTGTTGCGGAACTGCAGAAGAGATTTGTGAAATGGGCGAAGAGAGCCAAGGGCAGAAGAATATAATAGTTTGTCAACAGATGGATGAGACTCTAAAACAGAAAAAAAGACTAAATTAGATTATGTGATGGAGAATAAAAATGACTAAAAGATAAAGATGAGAAATCATGAAAGATTAAATGCACAAACCAAGTTCCTTGTTAGATCCGGTATGCGTTATTGTGTATATGTAGTTTATTAAGTTACTGAAAAAGATATCTTTTGCACAAAAATAGCGTATATTTATATCTGAAAGTTGCACGAAGAAGGAATGTACCCAGAGTTGATATAATAAACTGGGAACTTGGAAATACATGCAAGCGATCACAGTAAATATAAAGAATCCAAGAACGAACACTGGGGAAATTCCTGATAGAACGGAAGAGAACGAAAAAGATATATATAGTAGACAAACTGTTTAGTAAGTTAGAAAAGAAAGAGAACGAATATATATATATATATATGTATGATAACTATCATACAATTCTCTCTTATGGCACGTCTTTAATATGTGCCATAACATTCCCCTTTCATACATTGGATTAGTCTTTCAATAAAGTTATTTTCGTCCATCACTGAAGCCTTAACTGTCTACTGACTAGAGTGCATCACTATGGTCAATTGTCTTCATGAACTAAGTTATTTGCTCTGTCTGGCATGTGTACAGTTTTTCTATATATAAAGATATAAGAAAAAAATCTCAAAGAATCTTGACAGAATACTCAAGACAAGAATAGTCCAGGAAAAAAGACAAGATTCCTTCAAGAATTTATGCGGCACAAGAATCCTTATAGAATAACTCCAAGAACGTCGGCTAGTGCTGTTCAGTCAAAACCGATTGCGGATTCACTTTTTGTATTCTTTTAAGGAAATATCGTCAGTAGAATTCTAAGTATCTATAATGAAACCTTCGTATCTTTACTTGATCTGTCTCTGTCCATTACTCTAGTTTTCTTTTATCAACTTACCTTTGCTATTTTATTGGTTTGAGTCATTTCTATTACAGCTTGGGGACCTTTGATGATTTCCACTTTTCGTGAATAAATACTACTACTACTAGCAAAAGAAAAAGATGAATAAGCATTGTCTAGTTACTCATATGAGTACTCAAATACTCAGTGTGTACTCACCTTTTCTAAGCGACAAAATATGTATCGTTTTTTCGGAGCAGGCATCAAATCTTTTGTGCAGTTCTTACCCAGGATTCGTATAAGCTACTTGCAGTCAAGCCACCCAACATCTTTCTTGCGATAGGACTGAGTCATTAAGATTTGAGACTCAGTTAATTATATTGAAATAAGTTTCGATTTCCTAAGTAACGTTTTAAGTTTATTCTATAGCTGCGCTATCTCAAAACAAAAGGTGAGTGTAAAGAAACCGGAGCATGTTTTATGTATGATACACACGACACGTAATATATCGCGTGACCGAGCACATTCCGTCGGAGGCATATTATAGGACACAATAAGTGTATCTTCTGCAGAGGCACTCCTGAATGTATCCTTCTATAAGGCACTTGTTAGAACGATATGGTCTGTGGATTTTAGTGTATCTGCTCCCAAAACCAATTTCTTGATACGAACGTTGCCTGTACATGCACGAACGCAGGCACGTCTCATCGTCAACCGACGTTTGAGCGGCCGATATTTGAGCGACTGACATTTGAGCGACTGACATTTGAGCGCCGACATTTGAGCGACCGACATTTGAGCGACTCCGACATTAGACACTTTTCAATATGACTTTTTGCCGATCAGGAAAGTCGAATGATTATTCACTTCGATAACGATTAATAACGATGACGAGAACAATCTTTTTGTCGTCCGATTATAAACTGAATTATTTGGAAATCTGTAGAGGGTGAGGCTGTGTGGATAAGTCCTTCAAATAAGGTCGCTCAAATGTGGGTCGCTCAAATGTCGGGGTCGCTCAAGTGTCGGTCGCTCAAATGTCGGCGGTCAAACGTCGGTTAATCCACCATTAGAGTAGAAAAAGTCGATTTTTCATGAAGAAAACTCGAATTTACTCGAAAACGTCACGTCACCACCACGCATTTTTTTCTTTTTGTCCTACTATTTAGTCAAAAAGTCGTTTCAATAATTTTAAAAGGAACAGACAATAATCAGAAAATTTTTTTCTTTTAAAATATATGATTGGGAATTGATTTTGTTTAGTTCTGCCAGTTGAAAAATTCGAGATACAGGCTGAATTTCAAGGATTTTCTATTATTTCGTCTACCATTTTATGAGAAAACCTTGAACTAATATGAAAATTTTGTTGGATATACAAATTTTTATGCTCTATAGATTGAATATATCAAAAATCGAAGAAAAGTTATAACAGCGAAAAATGAAAACACAAGCTTTGTTATGTTAAAAAGTGAAAATATATATGGTATTTAAAAAAAGTAGAGCAAGACTAGATTTTTTTGATCTACAATGTAGAAAATATTTCATAGAATTGGAGTTGCATATTTGATAACACCTTGAGACCATCTTACGAGGGAACTGCCCCAAGTGTCCGCTCGCTTTTTTCTTGAAACCTAGTGGAGAATAGGTTATCGACTATGCTGATTCCGAATATGACAATGGTTTTTGCTGCTAGGCCTTCGCAGACCTGGTTTTCTAGAAAACCAGTTTTTCAGAAACCCCAAAAAATAACCCGAACCTTTCTTAATGAGGCATGATTGTAGCCCGCACATTTCTGATTAAAATGAGACCTCTCCCAACTCTACATGACCTTTCTTTGCAAAGTTATAGAATTTACACGAAGAGCCCTAAATTAATTTCTTATTTCTGTAGCTTTTAGCTGACAATGAACATTTAGGGCTTTTGCTGTAAGTTCTATAACTTTGCAAAGAAAGGTTATGTAGAGTTGGGAGAGGTCTCATTTCAATCAGAAATGTGCGGGCTACAATCATGCCTCATTAAGAAAGGTTCGGGTTATTTTTTGGGATTTCTGGAAAACCAGGTCTCCGAAGGCCTAGCAGCAAAAACCATTGTCATATTCGGAATCAGCATAGTCGATAACCTATTCTCCACTAGATTTCAACAAAAAAGCGAGCGGGCACTTGGGGCAGTTCCCTCGTTAGTGCTAATGTTTCTCATTCTTTACTTATAACAACATTTTGCGAAAATCCAGCCTGAGAATATGGTTCTTTTACTGTTTCCGTATCGATGTGTAAATATGAAGAAGCGTGCGTATGAAAAATTCTACTTTAGAACTGTACAAATACAGCGAAAAAATAACTTTCAAAATCGTACTCGTTTCAGTCCCGTTCTCTAAGTAGAGTAAAAATTTAATAATTGGCACTTCATTCTCCATTTAGTCCAAATTCCGTCCTCTTTTTATACTTTTCTCTTTTTTATTATGCAATAATTGATATAAATATACACTAAATCTGTGCTGATATATTTGTATTAGATAAGATACTCTGAGAGCACTCCTGTTGTTTACCGTTATCAACTAACAAGTATATATGTTTCTTTTTTTTTTCAATTAAGTTTTTCACCTTTTTTTGTTATTATTATATTACCAAACAACGATTCTCATTCTGTTAGCACCAGACTACAACTTTTGATACATGCCGCTTAACTTCTCTTTTTTTGAATCGATTTGTTGACACGGGACAAACCAGTGGAACGAAATTTCTGTTATTTTTTTAAACACAATTTTTTATATCAATACTTTTCTAATATATGTCAATTTACTACGCGTGGATCTAAACAATTATACGTTGACCACTTCAACGAACCAGACGAATAAAATGGACATAAATGATCGTCGCAAGGAAGAATCGGTTCTTGTTAAATATCTTGACATCATTCGGATTTGTTCGGAAAAACGTACAGTTTTATTCTTCTCTTGAAATGATTTTTATAACTACCCACCTAATGAATTTATTTCTTCCAGTCAAAGAGCTAAAACTTACAATAAACATGAGTTTCTTGTTTCTAAGGGTTTAGATAAAACAGAGCTCAGTACTCATATAAAAAAAAGTGAAGTTATTGTGCACCAAAAAAAAAGGAACATTAAATGAAAAATATGCTGTTTTACATAAGGCGTGTAAATTTTTAAAAGCAAATCAAACATTTACCCAATCGATGGCTTTCTCTCGAATTTTTGAGGACGAAGTTAGTCTGTGTAGAAGATTATAGCAGCAAGTAGGAAAGAGAAATCACATTCTTTCAAAAGTTCTTATCGTACTCCCAAAAAACTTATATCACATTTGTTTTTTTTCTTCACTTAGATGTTAGTAAACTATATTATGGAGCACAAGGTATAAACTATTCTTTGTTATGGAAGAGGATAACATCTTATGAAATAACTCCTTGAACTATGTAATGGTAACTTGCCGCTTTAGTTGGAGGATTATTAGGATTTCTTCATCTTTAAATAAATATAGTTTAAACCAACTATCCTTATGCTGAACAATATTAAAACCAATATTCAAATACAATTTAGATAATACTAATTTTTTTGGCATTGTAGACTGCCATCAGAGCGTATAACTTGTATATTGTATGAAAATCAACTCGCTATAAAAAAAGCACCAATATAAAAAAGTTTAAACGAACGTATACATTGATTTGAAAATATTAAAAGAAAAGAAGATTACGTTTGTACAATAACATAGAAAACAAGGTAATGAAAACTATTTCTACGATAACACTACTGCTTACTTGCATTCATTTTACTAAGCTTTAGTATTAATTAGGAGTAATATAAATAATGATGCGAATGAGACAAAAATATTTAATTGATTTTGTTTGCCGTCGTTCCAGTACGGATATCCAGAATTATAACCTATCGAACTTGGATACCATTGCCCATTATTTGGACGATTATTATAATTATTACCATATTGTGTACCATAACCATACTGACCCTGTTGATTGTTATATTGATTCTGATAGCCTGTACCATATTGTCCTTGGCTACCATATTGTCCAAACTGTCCCGTAATTGGATATTGATTTTGATATTGTCCAGCATAAGGATAGTTTACACCTTGTGCTCCATAATATGGCTGATTATTCATTCCCTGTTGATAAGGATTTGATTGATAAGGAGAATTACCTAAATAATTTCCTACGAAATCTTTCCCGCTTGGATTACCACCAGCACCTATTTTATTACCACCGTCGAAGTATTTAGGAGGGACGTTTACGTCGTTGCCTCCTGCCACATTTGGATGTGCAGCAGACATTGGTATCTGAACAGAAATCTGACGTCGTCGACGACGTTTACCACCATCAACTAAAGCAGATAAATTATGACAAAGTCGAGAGATAATGGTTAAAGGTATCTTAATCAATGATGAAGATATCAGTTACCATAAGTCTTATGGCATTAAGAGTTCGATCTCTGACTATTTTTCACCAATGTAGCGAAAATACTCATTATACATGCACATTTGTTTATAACAATTATAAAAAAATGTTCCATTTAAGTTCAATGAGCCAGATCAAATAAAAATAATCATTATAAGTATTCTCTATGGAACGAAATGTCAATTCATGTTTTAAAAGGTTACATTTGACTGCTCATATACAACCATCTTTTCAACAATGGTAAATATATGGTGACTCCCACACAAACCTGTAATATTATACTTCTTATAGTCGACATGCAATCATCCACCTTATCATTAATGCTAAATCCTTTTATCGTTCTGTCGAGCAACAATGATCTATTTTCAAACTGTTTTAAACGATAAGAAGAGTAAACTTTGAATGATACTTTAATGCTGTGTAATATTTCTTAGTCCTCTCGCTATGCTAGTATCACAAACGAAGTGATAATTATAGTGTGCAGCTGTCGCTATTTTGACTTTTACTTTATTCAATAGATTTGAGGCTAAACCTAACTAAGCAAAGTTTGTCTCCTTTTCTGATTATTCTTGTCTTATCTTATAAGTATTTATTCTTAAAGTATCGTTACTTCAGTTGTGCTTGTCATTCTCTTATTGTTTCTCCTTATGGTTATGTACCTCCTTATGGAGGTTTTTGTATTCTCTCTTTATGTAAGATAATTAATTCTACCTAGTTCCTTCACTCTTCTTTGCAGGTAAGTATGTTATTTATAGAACGACTAGTTTTAAGTCACACGGTACTCTTACCCGTCGAATACAGAACCCATAGTACAAGTAATACTTTATAATACAGTAACATTTTGAACTTTTAGTACATGCGCACAAATTTATGAGCCTACGAACTATGTTTAATGTGTATTTGTGTCCTTTTCCTTGTTACGTTATTTTTATTACTATATGCATATAGACATAGAATGATGAAAAGAGTACTACCAACAGTTCGTGTAAAAAAAAGTCTTATTTTGTTCCGTCATTTTACTCTTTGATTTCTTTCGTTCTCTTTTTCGTCATCGTCATCACGTAGACTATGCAATTTGTTTGAAATCAAAAACCTTGTTTGTTTATCACATGCTCGTGCTGTCATAAAAAATATTCTATTAAACTCTTTTAGAAATGAGAAACCTTTCGTTTTCACTGACAAGCTGCACTTCATGATTGTCTAGTGTCAAATTCTAAACCGATTCGCTTATGTTTAGACTGACACGTCGTTGTAGTTGACGATGGAAGAAAAGGTTAAGAATTTTCTCAAAAAAAAATTCAACTGTTTACCTCTAAGAAGAAATAAGGAGCGAAATTTATTGAGAAAAACAGATACTTTACAGATATTTGTACTAAAAGAAACAGAGGTATAAACGCACTTATTGGTGATAAAATTTCATTTATTCAGGTACAGGTTTCGAAAAGAAAAACATCTATGAAGGGCAAAATAACTCATTTTTATAATACAATTATGCAGTAAGAATAAAGGGCCGAGTTGCTAGTAATAATGATTATTTACTTCTATATGAGTCAAAAAATCATCAGTTTTAACGACAATAGACTGTTTGAATTGTTGTTTTGTTAAGACCAACTTTTCTGATATGTTGGATTTCATTATTATGTTAGTTAATAGAATAATTCAAGGATTTCAACTCTGTATAAATATGATATTTTGACAAGAAGGAAATGTCATTCATTTCTCTTAAATTCTCTATTCTCTTCTAAAAAGGAGCGTACATCATGGTCTTTCATCATCACAGTGGTGGTAGTTTTTTTTCTTTTTGACACTTATATAGGCAATATTTTTTTTTACTCTAATTGATTCCCTTGAAAGAACTAAACTAAACTAGACGATGAAATTGATCATGGCTAACCATGCACATTTTGAATTTATTAAAAAAAAAATGTATCATAATAAATCATCAATAACACATTTGTTAAATGTATATAAGCAACAGGATGAGGGATAAGTTACAAAGCTAGAGTTGACTAAAGATATATTTTTATTTGAAAAAGATATTATAAATCGTACAGAAAAGCTTCATTGCTCTTGGTTTTTTTTACGACCTGAAATTAAAACGGCCGTATTTGAACGATCTATCACATACGGTACCGGTCCAACATGAGTAAGTATCAAACAAAACGATACTATCACACTGCGTGTTCATTTATCAAATCGTGTACCTTTGGCGCTCTAATTTTTTATTACAATCAATGGGATATCGAGGTTTCATTATAAAATTTTTCATTAAAAAACTTTCATTAAAAATTTTTAATAAAATTCTTGTGCCAACAAAAATTCCAGGTCACAGCCATTTTGCAGGAGACATTTTAATGGAAGTACCGAGACCTTCATTAAAAAAAAACGTTTTAATGAAAGTTTTTCTAATGAACGTCACCCAATCCCAATCAAAATGCTTATGGATTCACGACTTCATTTATCCTTCACATAATTTGTATAGACTGGTAATAGTAGCGATTCTAGTATATACACAAACATCTAAGTCCAAAATGACTATCACACGAAACATAATTTGTCGATGTAAAAAGTGAAAAAACATTTTGAACTAAACAATAATGGTAGCTATAATGTTATCCGTACAACTTAAAGCTTTATTTAGTTCGCTGATATAGAATAAAACTTTAATACGTAAATCTGATGAATTCGAGATATCATGTTCATTACTTTAAGAGTTTCCAATAAAAATTTGTAAACAATCTCGTGTGCACGATAAATTCTGTCAGGGTTGTAAAGAGTGTATAGAACAAGTGAAGAGTTGGCATAAGCTTTATTCTCAGAATACAAGCGGAAAAATATTTCATTATAGTATTCTAAACTAAAACTGTCGAAGAACACAAAATCAATTTTTTGTACGAATAAAGATTTGAATATGTGAACTTAACTTTGCAGTTAACTGCAAAAAGTGGAGAATTTATTATTAGTATGAATTACTATATCAACTATCATTCAAAAAATCAATTACGAACGAGGTATTTGGTAATATCACAGGATTACTACTATCATCATCAAATTCATAATATCCAAACTATCTGTACATTGTATAAACTCTGAAACAAACAATGGCATAGGATGTCAGTCTTTGACTCTCAGCTGCCATGAGAAGGGCCTGGCATGGTCTGAATGACTTTATTTATATGTAATTCACTCTGATTTATCCAAATGTGTAAGAATCAAATTGATTGGGCAACGCTTCGGCCCTGAACTGTGCCCTTTGCCTGGGGGTGCTTGATAATACCATCGATCCGGGATACACACAAACTTCTAATTAAAATACTGCGGATCATTATCTACTTATTCTGCTGATAATTTTTTTCATGTTTAGTTTGAATTTGTCATAGTATAAAATGTACATCGCACCTTATAATAGAAAATACACTACTGATCATCAACTAAGAGTAACAATAAGATGACGGCTATTAATTCATTTCAATGAATATCATTAATAAACAATGGTAAGAATTCCAATAGTAAATATACTAACAAGATAGCTTTAAATGAATACGTATTAAATAAAAAACTTGATCACCATCGAAACCGCCGAGAACGAAAAACAAGACAATCATTGTACAATAACAATAATCTAAGATCAAAGTAAAGGAGTATTCCTACTGAGAAGACAGAAGCTATTCTAACTAAATATCACATAACAGTAGAGGTGCATATTTTGCAGATCGATCGGGATATACGTGTCTATATTGCACAAGACTTTGTAATTTATTTCGATTAAACTTTAAAAATTTTGGAACTGCAAACTGCATGTTTGGTTCTTAACAGTCCATCAGAAGTATACGAGAAAAAATGTACATACATTCATATATTCATACAATAATACATTTATTTTTCAAAACTATAGAATAAAAAGTAAATACTTCCGATGAGCACTATTCAAAAAGATTAAAGAGATTTTTACTTTATAAAATATGCTGATGAAATAACAGAACAGTATTATATAATTCTCTTTACGATTCCTTTTTAGTATCAGAAAACCATGTACTATCGTAAAAGTTTTGGACAAATGATTAAATAAATATATCATGTTCTTCGGTATCATATGTGATTTTATGTGAGTAAATTTATATAGAAATCAGCCGGATGATTCAGTGGCTCGACAACATAATCACATATCAAAAACAGCCTTGAGCTCTTTCTGGATGACTCGCGTAAATACACAAACCATTTGACAAACAGAAAGTATCATCGAATATTTTATAGAACAATAGACTGAAATATATTAGTGGCATACTAATTACAATATACCAAGTATTATGCATCGTTGATGAATAATACAAACAATCATTTCTCCATTGGCTGCCAATGATTTCAACAGTTGAGTCATGAACGCCCGAGCACGCTGGTAGAGCAGCCACAATACATAAACGGTGGATCAGTTAAAATTTCAGTGGCAAAATTTAAACGACCTATGTCATTATTTTTTCTTTGGCATGTTCTCCTATTAAGGTATGCAAGCCAAACCCAATTTAAAGTCTTTAATTACACTTTCGACAAGAAAAAAATTTTTTGATAGAATTTTACATTCCATACAATCTATTAGTGTAAATATTCATCACTTTTCGATTTTTTCGAACTTTGATTAGTATTTTGCGATTCATACATAACATTAGATAATAATAAAAATGCTGACAGTTGAGGAGATAGAACCAAATCTGTTTGTTGAGCATAAACTAAAATTTAAAGAGAAAAATTCGAAGTAAGTTACCAGATACACTTACCTAAAATTTGAAAAGTGATCTATTATTCCATTAAATAACTTGTTTTTCACCTACTGTGACATGCTTACTAACACTAATTCCATTTAATTGTACATGTTCAGATACTTCTATACTTGCATGTCTCGCCAGCTAGATTATTCCATATCAATTCAGTCGAAAAATTTTAAAAGCGCGGCTGAATGAAACTGAGAACTTTTCTAGAATACCCCGATTCAAAACTTGTTGTGTACAAAGTAAACGACTATGCAGAATCCGAATCTGCAATTAGTTTTGGCCGAACACGCTTTTAAAGTTTCATGACTGAATTTATATTTCAAAAATGTATTCTAAAACAGCATAGAAAAATATTTACCCAAGAAAAACTATAAAATAAAAGTGAAATAAATTATGGATAAAATATCAAAACGAAGTTGAACATAGTGCAAACATTCTACAATGGTACGAGCCAATCAAAA